GGAGCACATCAGCTATCGTCTGACAGTTATATAGCTTTGTAGACGTCACCAGAACCCTCAAAATATTGGCCGTTGTCCCTAGAAGCTAAATCGTCGCCAATGGGTTCTCAGATTGTGGGAAGTGCTACTCAGTCCGCAAAAACAGTTGTATATGTTCTCCGTAATCTCTAGAGGAGCTTGGTGAAGTCTTAAAGGTCCAGTGTGTAGGATTTAGTGGCATCTAGCAGTGAGGTTGCAGAACTAAAACTTCTCCAAGCGTGGAGGAGAACTACAGTGGTTGGCGCAAAAATGTGAATGGCTCAACCTAGAGCTGGTGTTTGGTTTGTCCATTCTGGGCTACTGTAGAAACAACATGGCAGACTCCATGGAAGAGGACGTGCCCTGTATGTAGATATAAACGGCTCATTATAAGGTAACGAAAACGCAATGTTTCGTAATTTCAGGTGATTAGAAACTAACGGTTGTGAATATTGTTCACCATTTCTGCCAGTAGATGCCGCTAAATCCTACACACTGCACCTTTAAAAATTAGTAATCCCAGTAACAAATCTGTATGTACCAGAGATCGACCCTGTTCTGTCTGTTAACTGATGTGTCTGTTCGATATTCCAAACTGTCTAGCTCAGGTACAGTATCAGGCCAACATTCGTCTGAAGTGGTAGTCTATCCCTCCTGTGCGCCGTCTAATACACTATTAACAGTTCAGCTCCAGGATTTGTCTCGGTGACGTCACACACTGTCTTGTCTCCAGCTTTGGGGGGGGGGGGGGATTTAAACTCGGAGCACGCTAGAGGATTAACTAGATTATCAATTAACACCATATCTGAACATCCTGCATCAGTCCAGACTCCAACTGAGACAGGCTCCAGTTGGAGTCTGGACTGATGCAGGTTACATCTGATAGATGACAGGTGGGCAGATTCAGAAGTGAAATATGGTGATCATCTCTCAGACTGATCAGATTTAGTCTGAGAGAGTCACCAGTGAGAGCAGTGTTGGTCGTATTAGAGCACGCAGGGAAGAGGGAACTCTTCTCCCACGCAGAGTCACAAACCTGTCGTCTCTTGTTAAGAGTGTCTTGATAGAGCTGTATCCACACTTCCTGCTTCTCATCCATCTTCCTGTGCTCCTCCTCAGTTCTTTCCCAACGGCAGCGCCTTCGCCACAGGCTCTGACGACGCCACCTGCAGGCTGTTTGACCTGCGTGCAGACCAGGAGCTCAGCCTCTACTGCCATGACAACATTATCTGTGGCATCACCTCCGTGGCTTTCTCACGCTCCGGCCGTTTGCTGCTGGCTGGCTACGACGACTTTAACTGCAACATCTGGGACGCCATGAAGGGAGACAGAGCAGGTGGGTGGAAGAGGCGAGAGAAAAGATTCAATCTGAAGCTGAAGTGAGGAATAGATTCAGTTGTCGTCTTTTGTAGCTGTCGTCGCCTCCAACACAAAAACTTCTTTTACTATTCCTTCTGCCACAGAGGGACGATTGTAGGTGTGTTTATACATTTGACCTTCAACTAAAACTACTTTAGGATGGTTTTGTTTTGCATTTTAATGTAAAAAATGTCAACAACAGCCCCCTTCAACAAGGAAAGGCACCATTTTGTATCACTGCAAAGTCAAATTGACTCTATCTGACCTCCATCTGCAATATTTCACTGAAAAACTAAGTGAAAGTGTTGGGTGCAAAAAGGAGTGACTGAAAAACTAAAACCATGATGCTCAATTTCAGTATGCAGTTCAGAGGCTAGTTCGCCTCTTTGTTAAGAGTTGAACTGTTTAGATTTCTGTATAGATAAAGTGCAGTTATACTTTGCACATCTCTTAGTTTCAGAATGTGCCAGACTCACCAGTGAGTTCACATGTCACAAGTCTTACTTTGTAAAGAAAACATAAAAATAAAAAGTTTGGTCAAGCGACCCACCCTGTGTTGCAAGTTAAAGCAGGAATAAACACAAGGTCGCTGTGTTCTGTGTGTTTTATTTATTTATTTATTTTTTAAGTTTCAGTGCAGTCTGGAGAGCAAAACATTTCACGCTAACAAGTCTTCCTTTGTTTGTCCTCGTCCCCCCTGCAGGGGTCCTGGCCGGCCATGACAATCGTGTGAGCTGTCTGGGTGTGAACGATGACGGCATGGCGGTGTGCACCGGGTCCTGGGACAGCTTCCTTAAGATCTGGAACTGAGCCATGCACATAAACAGCAAACACACACACACACACACACAGACACACACACACGCACGCACACGTCCAACACACAGACACCGCTCCCATCTCGGGACACAGTTTGCACCCTGTATTCACTGTATGTAAGATTCAACAGACAAACTGCAACATTGTACTGTACATAATATATATGACTTAGGTATGAGTTTACACACACACACACTGTACGCAGGACAAGACATCACAAGACCTGAACACACACCCACACTACCTACAGCTAATTTAAGTGCACGGCAGCAAGGTAACAGTACAACACACACACACACACACACACACACACACACACACACACACACATATAATCTGTAAAATGTTAAAATATGACAAAACACAGTTGAATCCTCAGCTGCTCAAATGAAACACACAAACACCACTATTACCTGAAGCCTTTTAACACATCTAACACGCTCAGTCACACAACACACACACACACACACACACACACACACACACTTTTTCCTGAGACACTGCTCCTCCAGTTAAACAGAGGAGAAGATGTTATTGGACAATTCTGTCTTTGTTTACAATGAAGTCCAAAATGCACTTCAGACAAATTTTTTCTGTACTATTTTTGTCTCCGTACCACATGTATCTCAAGCGATGCTAATGTGAAGGAAGAACAGTCATGAAGGAGAATCATGTGAGTCCATTAACACTGAAAAAAAATAAAACACTGACAGACAGGATGGGCCGATGATTGACAGAGTCCAAGGAAAATATCAGCTCTTATTTTCATCCGGCTCCAAACATCATGTAATCACTGTTTTTATAGATATACCCCCCCCCCTCCCCCACATACATCCCATCTGCTCTTAAGCTTTTGTTTTATTCTTTTTTTTTTTTTTTTGTTACACTTATTTTATTCATGTTCTCCCTGTGTGCCTCAGATACACTTTAAGGATTATTAATAGAGAATATTGACAAAGTTACAAAAAAAAAAAAAAAAGATTCAGGAGGTGGGTGGGAAAGTAAAAGCATTATAAGACACATCTTAATAAAGCAGGAGCCAGTATTCATACTTTGACTTTGTCAATGTATTATCTGGATATTATGATGGTATAATTGTACATAATATTAATAAATAATAGCCTCTCCTGCCAGGTTTTGTGGTTTCTTTTGTAAAGCAGTGTTTCTAATGTATACACTTGAACAGTGACCCCGGTGCATGACATAAAAATGTTTGTTCTGGCAACACATACATTGACATATGCTGTTTCTAAATAGCCTAAATACATTTCAGCACAAATTCTAGTTTATTATTAAACAATTATTATTTTTATGTTGTTAAAATTATTTATTTAATGTATAATTATTGAATTATTTTGTAGCCTAATGAGAGGAAGAAACATTTTTGTAATGATCTCATTATCAAGAGAACAAAGCTTGTTTTCTCAAGATAATGAAATAAAACAACCTTTTGTTTTCTCATGACAACGGCTTGATTATCTCGATATTATGAGATAACGACTCGTTTTCTCAAGCTAACAAAATAATTATCTTGTGACTGAGAAAACAAAGCTTGTTTTCTACAGGTAATGAAGTAAAACCTTTTGTTTTCTCATGCTAACGAGTTGTTAATCTCACTGGCATGAGATGAGGGAATTAAGAATGAATTTCAAGGATGGCTGCTCTTAGAATCCCGTTGAAAACCTCAAGTTAAATTTTGCTCAGTGATAGATTTTATTTTATTTTTTTTAAAAAGCTACAGGCTTAATCGTTTTACTACCATTAATAATAACTATGTCCTGGCAAATAGTGCCACATAACGACCCCACGTAACAAACAAAAAAGCAAAAGTTTGGTGTGGAGACAGAACAAATTTATCCTCCAGGGATCTAAAACCAATTTCAACCCAGTATAATAAGAAAAGTATAATAGAAACAACATTTTAAAACAAATCTTTAAAGTTTAGTTGATCAGAAACCTTCATAATCAATAAAACACCATCACGGATGTTATGAATCAGTGGTGCTTTGTGTTTCTACAAGTAGAAAAAGCAGTGTTATATGATATCATTTCCAATTGTTACTCATTGTTTAACAGACTAATAGGTCAGGTATGGTAGTGCACTTAGTGCTCTCCTTATCTGCTGATTAAAGTTAAACTGAAATATTTCATTCAGTAGGATGCTTCTACAGTATGGAAGTGTTTTTACCTTCAGCCACCAGGGGGTGCTGCAGCAGCTCACTCTGCAACTCAGGTTCACAAAACAAGGCTGAAAGGAGTTTATTCCAAAAATAATCTTATAGGCAGATTATTTAATTTAGTGAATGGCATGCCTGTGAATATTGAACTGGATGTCTTGTAAAGTGGAAAATATGCCTCTCTAAAAGAAGGTAAAATGGTGATATATATGTCACACAAATCCAGTGATAGGGACATCAGGTCCAAGCAGATTTTAGCACCATCATGTGGTGAAGCAGGATTAGATTTATATGTTTACTACTATATTGTAAAAAGCCTGTCACACCCACAGTAAACCCACACAAGTGAATTATTCTGCCTGGAAAGGCCTCTGTGTACAAGCTGCATCTTTCTCACTCCTCTTATCTTTGGTTTTGCTGTTCGGCCGGGGAAATGACAGCATCGTTTTTATTAGCACACAGAAGTCTGGTGACATCATGCAATCCAAATGCAGCTCTGCCCACCTTCAGCCTGAGTGAAGATCTCATGGAGGTGTGCAGGGCCTTATTCAAAGAAACGTGCTTCATAGAAACTAAGATGTATTGTTTAATGGACATTTTTCAAAATGCAAAGAAGTGAAACACTGATGAGATTAAGGTATTTTATTTTTCAAACAATTCTGTATTAAGACATGAATTCATTCAACACAATCTTTTTGAAAGTTTAAAGTTTATCAGTCTATGAAATACAATCTGGAGTTAACCTCTCACAAGTAACACAGACGCGCGCACACACACTAAAACATTGCAAAGATGTTTACCGTCCTTAAAAATAAAAGTTATTGAAAAAGAATAGAGGATATTGTAGTTCTGTCCAAAGATCCACGTCGTTTTAGAGCTCCCCAAGTTTGATCTGCCTCGCTCCCAGCTACAGCTGCTAATCCATTCATACGTTATTGATTAGAAATAAAAGCTATGAGAGAGGAGTGCCTCGTCAGAAGATTATCCATACTTAAGAGTTCATAAAGGCAGATTCTGGGATTTCATTAAAGCAAAACAAGAACAAGCATCCCAACAGGTGATTGTGTTAAACTGACAGAGAGAAGCAGTTATTTCTTGTAGTTACAAACAAAAGTAAAGTACAGAATGACTTCTGTAACAAGCAACACACAAACCAGCTAACATTCAGTCTGCCAAAGGCCACTGAAAAACTACTTCCTATAGGTCACGCTGAGATGGACAGCCATGGTTTGGATTTGTTCAAATGCTTGTATTGCTTAATAAAAAAGAAATGTCACCGTCTGAGAGAACAACTGTCTCCCAAGACGATGTTCTACACTCTCAGAGGCCGCCTACATCTCAGTGGCGCCTCTTTCTGTCTGATCACAAACTTTGTGCATTTTGGCTGTTCAGAGCCGCGTTACATGAATTCAGCAATCACATCTGTTTATGCTTATGGTCAAACTGACACTCAAACTAATGACTTGTGATGTTCTTTTAATGGCTCTTGGCACAAAATGAAATAGCACTTATACACCGTGAGGTGCTTTTAGGGAAATCAGCAATCAGAACTCGTCATCTTTGTTACAAACCACAACCCATTATAAGAATTTCTGCTGCATAAAATAAGACAACAAGATTAATATTTGAACATGACGGCCTCAATCAAAAGTGATAATAGACTGTGTTACCTCACCCAAAAACTTCAAAGATATTCATCATAATTTTACAGCATGTTGAGATACAAGAGTTCAGATCATTTCTTTATTGGGTCTTCTTAAAATAAACGTGTCTGTTTGGATCAAGTCAAATGATTTACTTGCAGTGCTATCCAGACAAAACAACTGTCAACACACACCAGACAATAAAGATGATTAAATATGACGCTATGGCATTTTGCCTCATTTTTAGTTTGACATGTTATTTTATTTAAATGAAACCAAAGTAGTTTGATGCGCCTCGTGAAGCCTGTGCACTGCAGCCGAGGTAGAAACACAGTGAAGTATTTCAAGCAAATTTTACATAATGCAACATAAGTATGTTTGTTAAAGGAGAACTCCCATTTTACACATCACAGTCTGTTTCAATTTCATTGGTAGTGAGCGCACCGACTGATGTTACCAGGCAACACCTGAGATGTTGCAGATGAAATGGTAGAGGAAATGTCTGACCGTCACTCTATATTTAGCGTTTGGGGCTCCACTTTAGCATTAGAAACACAGAGTACCGGACGCCCCTGTAGCTTACTGGGCAGAGCATGTGCTATTGAGTCCTCTCCCCAGTGGCCTGTTCCTATGCTATCTCTTGCTATCACTATCAATAAAGCAGATATATCTAAAAAGAAAAAAAAATCTTTCAAGAGGAAAGAAATAGAAACATACTGTCTACCAATTTAGCAATGAACTTCTGTAACGCTATAATTAAATTTTTATTTGATGCATGTCTTTCCTGCTCCTGCATTCTGATGCTTCGTTCACATGGAATCAGGCAGACGGACAACACCGTCCGGAGGGCATGTTTAAAACAAACAAATAGTCAAAAAACATGCGTGATATGTTGCCATGGTGATGCTGTATTGTTGATAAAGAATGGAATAAAATATATAAAATGATTTTGTTGCAATTTTTCTAGTTATGTTCAGTACTCGTCCAGTACCCGGCCACTACAAAGACATCTGGTTTCCAGTCTCACGCCGGTCTGATTCCATGTGAAACTCAGCCTTACTCCCTGTGAGAATCTGATGTCTACATTACCCACAATGCAACACGGCCGCTCACAGTTTTGCCGTATTTTCAGGTATGGTTTCAGGAGGTCTGATAAACTGATCTCTTTCTAACCTCATAATTTTTTCATTTTCACTTGTAGTCTTCAGCCCGTACTGACGCTGCCTCACTTGACATCACTTGAGGTCATTTATTAGCCCCAAAAAGATTTATACAGTTTCTTTTTACATGTGCAGCAGTTCTCCCCAACGCCTGTAAACAGACTTTGATGTGTAAAATCAGAGTTCCCTTTCAGGATGTTCACACCTGGTGACAGACATGCATCAAACGTAAGTTGTCAAGAAATGATAATTGACTAATCGTCTTTGTCTGTGCTGTGTACTGGTCACTGATTGATCGATGCACTATTCAGTTGCTGAATGCTGCCTTTTTCGTGACAATACCAAAGCCAAGAGCCACGACAAGGGCCATCACGCCCCTGCACCACCTGTGTGATGTTCCTTGTCATCACCTGAGCATATTAACAGCCTGTCAACCTCACAGAGACAATTTACACCAGAGGCCAGATCCAACACCTATCTGTGAGTCACCACAAGTGTCTGAATCACAGCCACAGTTGACTCCTCTGAGAACAAGAAGACAGACAGTAGTTTTATGTCTCGATTGCTCAACAGAAATGCTGCAGGAATCGACAGTCTGTCTGCGGATTATTCGCTTTACTATAACCAACCACTCAGACTGATGACATACTGACGAGTTTGACGACTGCTGAGTGAATAAGGAAAAACAAAACAAACTCCATCTCTCTATCACACTCCATTATAGTGTTGATCTCTCTGCCTTAAAATACATTGTGCTTTGATTAATAGAGCAGTACACATTTTCATATAAATACAAATCTGTCTTATAGATGTACATTCACTTTGATTTCTTAATATAGACTAATTTACATATTTTATAAAATAGGCTTCTCAGAATATATCGAGCTACTTTCCCCACTACAAGATTACACAGTCAACATCATTGAAGAATAAGCGCTTATCTCGTCTTTGCTGCAAGAACCTACATTTTTCTGAGCGGACATCACACAGAGTTGAATTTGACCTGTGCACAAGTACTAAGTTTTGTCTACAAACACGTTTCATACGTATGGCTTTTCACTATGCTGGCTCCCTTACACTCTATTAACTGGACATGTGTTATCTTGTTTGTTATTGCAACTTTCTGAATGGATTATCGTCTGTTAATCATCTTAGGTAATTTACGTAGTGCCAAAAGAAGCATTTTAAATCTTTCTGCTGGATATTTAGGATTTGACTTAAGTGCACTTAAGTGGCACAGGATATAAATCATATTGAGGGAGCAAATATAGCTGTGCCTCTTCTTCATGTGATTTCAAGTAAGAGACAAGAGGGGTGGGTGTGTGTGTGTGGGGGGGGCTCATAACCCATCCTTAAACCTCTCACCTTCCCAACTCCAAGGCACTGCTTTAACTGTAAACATGGCAGATTGATAAAAAATGATGATTTGACCATAAAAAGCATGAGTGCCAGAGCTCCTGGTGGATTGTAATTGTGACATTTGAAATGTTTGTCATGGCACATAACAGATATCAAGAATAAAAACACATTCGCTAAAAGGGGAAAACAACTTTGATACAGTACTATATACTCTATTTCAATGGCTTACATGCACACCAAGTATCTGCTCGAGATATACAGTATTTGTAAATGTATGCTTACTGAAGTGAAAGTGCTTTCCATGCCCATTTACAGTTTGTTTTATAATCTCACCATAAAATTAACCATCTATTTATATAATCTTTGATTAAACACTCTGCCCTGACTATATACTGTATGCATTCTTACAGCTTTCTTTTTGCCTGCATGACATATATCTTCTTAGCGACTTTTTTCCGCAGACTATCCCATTGATCACTAGCCGAGATTCCTGTCATGAAATCAAAAGCTTTTTGAACTTGCAGCTTCACAAAAAAAAAATAATACAGTTAACATGTCAGCTTCTATTTATAAGCACATGAACTAACTTCACAAAAAATGTAGATATTTTCCAAACTCCATGCTGATAAGACTCAAGAGAGGAGTGAAGAAAAAAAAACATCTTGACTTTAAAATGTCCACCTGTTGATATCAAAGCACTGTGGAAACACAGCGGTGTTGCAACACTGCGTGAATCACTGAACAAAAAGGTTGACTCACATGTTGACCTACCCAGTGCTGACAGAAAATCACCAAGCTACTTCCTGATAATGCAGCCTCACACTACCGTACTGCCTGGTGTATGAGAGCACACGGTTATCTCCCTTATGCAGCTGCCTAACAAAAGCAAATCTAATAAAAAAGGAGAGGAGAGAAACTATCAAAATCTACAGGAAATCTCAAGCAGCTAATAAAGACACCATAATATTGTGTGAAAAATCAGCTGACGTTTTAGAAATACAAATAGAAAGGAACATTGGTTAGTGATCTGCAGAGAGAGTTTCCTCTCAAACTCCCATAGTCGCCTTTAAGCTCTTTTCCCTTTGGCCTTGATTCATACCCCCGTTGCAGAATATGCTGTGAACTTTGGCAGAATGTATAGATATAAAATATATTAAGTCTCATGTGTTCCAGCCGTCTTCTCCAAAGTGCCTGATGAGATGGAGTCCTCTGTGGTATTGCAGTCACCCTACATTAAATCTTTCCACTGACCTAAGACAAATAATGAACTGTACCCACACTGAGAGCTGTTCTACTGCAATCCCCTGAACAAACACTTCTCACAAAAAGATCCACACTGACAAAATAGTCTAAGAACTGAAATATAATACAGTAGAGTAGATCACTGTGGTAGGAGGGTGAAAGGACCACGAAAATGATCTCCCTTAATCACTATAATCTCTGTGACACCCTCTTTCTCCAAAGTCCTCCTTTCCTGACAAATATCCCGTCCCCTCTCTCCTCCAAAGGTCTCACCATACTCTCAAACACTACCAGCTGAATACACAAACTCCCCTCTTCAAACAAAGACTCCACAAAATAGCATATATTGCAATATAATGGCAATATAATTACAGTAAAATTAAGAATACCAGTAGGCTAATACCAATACAGAATCACTACATATAAATAACAAATTTTTGTATTTTGTAAATCTAGGAAAACAAAAAGTTTAGATACAAGCCTGATGAGTCAAATAATGAATGGCTTCACCCAAACCATAGAAAAAAGGCAAAGCAGGAGATTTCACATTAATGATTCGGAGTACTGCACATTTATGAGACTTCTGATTGGTTTTATCATTTCCGTTTTCAAACTAAAATCGGTTTTGCTTTTGAAGCATTCAAGGCTTACTTGCTGTGATTACAAGTTGCAACATCATTTGCCATTCAGGCCAGACAAAGTTAGTGGAAGCCGGACTTCAGGTTACTGTCTACTATAGAGAACTAAAAATACTTCAACAAGCTACTTTATCCTGACTTTGACATCCCTTTGTAATATTTTTGTACTAAATCCTTCCTTTAAGCCTCCCTGAAATTGTGGGAACCCCAAAGCATCGGGGGTCCACAAGCCACTGCAGATGGGCGCTCCAGCATTTTATTATTTGACGTCCATGTGTCCGGTGGCAACACACTGAATGGAGGCTATATAAGAGCCCTGCAAATGATTCAGATCTAAGTGTAAGGTGCTACCTATTTACAGCTTCATTTCAACATACAGTATTGGTAAATAATGCCTTCTTCAGAACGTACTGTAGAACCATCGAGGAATGTTTTCAACATACTTCACAATTAGGAACTAAATAGTTACGACTGAACACGGGTCCACCAAGTAAAGTAAATCAAGACAAGAATATTTACAGTACAAATTAATAGATGGTATAAACATTTGAAGCTCATCAGTGATTTTTCATGATGGTTCCAGGGAGAATGTTATCAGGGGCCTCTGTAGAAACTGTATCTTAATGAGTGTACATGTAGGCTGGAATGGATTGAAAGATTGTTTGTGTATGTGTGTGTGTGTGTGTTCTTTTTATGTGAGAGTGTGTGCGTGTGTGTGTCTCTGGAGCATGAGTGTGTGAGTGAGAGCAAGTTGGAGAGAAAGGGAGAGAGGTGTTCACATTTGTGTGCATGCGTTTGCGAGAATTTCAGATGCACTTCCTTCTCTGAACCCTGCTGGGTTCCTCACACTGACCAGAGCAGCTGTTCCTTCACCAGTTCATGATGCAGTTTCTGTTCAACGTCATGAAGTACACCTGACTGCTGCCTCCAGACCGCACAGAGGCAAAGAACACCTGAGGAACACGATGGAAACAGAGGACATGTATATGTCTTTGAATTCAGTTGCTATTAGTGACCTTTGGCTACGTTCAGACTGCAGGCAAATCACACTTGTTTCTCAAATTAGATCTAAAAGACAGACTGTCTGCACTGTTGTTTGCAAGTAATCAGACTGGATTTGTGTCCTGACATCACCAACCTATCTGCATGGGCTGCTGTGGTAACAACTTAGTCATCAGTAACTACATAGCAATGCCTGTGACGAGTCTTTCCAACGCAGAAGCATGACAAATGCATCATTTTGTCCTCCAATTTATTTTGGTGTCTGCCCACAGACTTTTGTTCTTCATGTTGTTCTCTTTAGCATTCTGCTGGTAGCAGCATGGACCTGCTCAGCACTCTGGATTTGACATAGTCATTGGTCGGTGTGTTCAAAGACACTTTAAAATCCGATTTGAGTAGCCAGAGTGCCTGGACTGAGACGCATCTGTGGAAATTTGACTGGAATCGCATGTCAAACCACCTCCAAGACCAGATTTGCAAAAATCGCATTTTATTTGTTTCATTGCTGCCAGACTTCATAATTCAATCTGGAAATGCCAAAAAACTGATTTGTCCTGACAGTCTGAACAGGGCCTACACTTCTGTGTCTGTATGTCTTACCTTGTCATTTCTCTCACAAAGGAACTTCAGCCTCTGAGCTCTTTTGTGCATGAAGACACCGTCCAGGTGGCCGGTCTCCACAGAACGAATCTCAATGGCCTTTTCTCCCCATCCCATGATCTGATTTGAGCAGATATGAGCTGCAAGGCAAAATGTAACATTAGTACTAAGCAAGCAGTCTATACAGAGGATAACGCCACTTTTGTCTGTTGACTGGATTTGACCCGCACCAACAGATGTGGGCATCTCGCCCCACTGTAGAACCACGTCCTTGATGATGCGTCCATAGGTGTTGACATAGACGCCCTCGTCTTCGTAGCACAGCAGCATCTCCATGCCGTCTGAGCTGGGCAGGAACACAATTGCGTGCGGTGTCACATGGCTCTGGATCTGTTTGAGATGAAAACAGAAAAGTTGAGCTCCTGTAGGTTTCACATCAGAGAGTAAATTATTATTCTCATTTTATTCTAATAGATTTGTCATCCAGCACCTGTGATCTGCCCCCCAGCTCTTTTTTCACCTAGAACCAAACCTGGAAATAAAATTAAGGAAAATTCCACCTGCAGCTAACCTTATTTGCGGCTCACCCGCCAGGTACTTAGCCCAACCTAATGCAGGACTCTTATTTCGCTTCTCTGAACACAGTACTGTCTGACAGCTGTACAACTTACATGAACAGGAATATAAATGTCATAGTTGTTTCCGGAGTCCACGTCGATTGCGTGGAAGCCTGCGCAAGACCCATAGATGACCTTCAACCTCTGACCCTCCTCCACTGTCAGGTCGACCAGGACAGGCCTGTGTGGCAGGTCTGCAAAAGACTGGTTAAAAGGAGTGGAGCGGGTTTGAGAGCAGAAAGTGAGTGCGAGAAGATAATTATCTCGAATGTACTTCTGGTTGACTGATCTCGCATAACTAATCCAGCTCATAGGAAAGAGGAGACTTACCTTGAAGGCCATGAATTTGTGATAAGGTTTGGGCGCCCAAGCATACACTTCCACCGCGTTCTTCAGAGCAATCACCAGGAACTTTATCCTCTCATATTTCACTAGATAGAACAACCACAAGGCCATCTGACATTAGATACTTGTAATCAATAATTCACTGTGCCAAATGCATCTATGAGAATTTACTCAGAGTGGAATAGACAGTAGTGATAAACAGCCATCTTCTGTCACTCACCCACTTTGTAGTGCACGCAACCCTCCATCTCCCCCACAGTGGTCCAGCCCTGCTTCTTCTCCACCTCAGGGTCATTGTGGAGGATCTTGTTCCTCAGCCAGGCCAGGTAGTAGACACGCACCTTGTTTTTCTTGCCTTAATAGACACAGTTTGAAATCAATTACAAAGGAGATTAACATCAGTAATTATTGAAATGCATGTAAGATTTGGAGGGAAGAAGCTCGGAGTAATATCGATATAATTATTTTAATATGAAAATAGATATTGTCTGGGATTTTGTTTCTCATGGTGTTGTAATAGACAAACCACACCAACATCAAAGAACTAGTGGCGATGAAGATCAAATGCTGCATCACCTCATGTCGCCTGTGTCTTGGCTGGATAGTTGCACCTGAACACACCGTAAAGTAGGGGTGTAAATCACCAGCTTAATCACGATACGATATTATATCGATTTGTTTGGATGACGATACAATGTTTGCCGATATCACAAAGTTTGTCACGATACGATTTTGATTCAATTCTATTCAGGAGCCTGCGATCGATACGACGCGATATCATATGCCCATCTAACACAATCATTTACTTTCAACTCACAAAAACAACTAGAATATGATTTGACCATTTTATTTCTGAGCTCTGTTTGTTGTTTGAGCTGAGGCGCGCTTGCCTAGAAATGGTGACACAGATGTGCTATGTGAATTTCATTATAAATGTGTATCTTTAAGATGACGATATGGATCGATGTTTTCATTTTGCATCGATATAATCGGATTGTTAATCAATGAATCGATGTATCAATGTGGATCGATGTATCATTACACCCCTACCATAAAGACTACAGCCCTCGGCCAACTAAAGCATATGTTCTGAGCCTGCGTGAAATGAAACAACTCCTCATACAAGCAGGTGGTGGTAGTCTTGGTGTGTCAGGGTCATAACTTAAATGGTCTTTCATAGACTGCTTTACTTTGACTGGCACAGATTTCTTAGCTTGAGTTTTAGCTGTTCAAACATGTTGACTGTTATCAACATTACTAAAGATTGATTCACAAAATGCTGCTGTGTAAATAAACATCAAATTATTCAAACAGTGTGTTGTAACATATTGTTATTTCATTTTTCCTTAAAGTTATTTGTCTGAAACCATTGTGACAATAGCTCTTGTCAATACCTGGAAGCCATTACACAGTGCACACAAATAAAAACAGACTTCCTGTGACTTTGAAGTCAAAACGCAAAGCAAAACAATCACTCTGAAGGCATCTAGTGTTTGAAGCTGTCTGTACTTTTGGCATGCGACTACTATCTTTAATGGGACGCCAACCAACTGTATTGAGAGCAGGCTGGAGCTGAGCAGCAATAATGACCTGATATGGTGATGAGCAGGTTGAGACCCTCCAGGACGTCCATCTGTTGGAACCTGCGGGAGTTGATGAGAGGGTAAACCTTGCCCTGACCACTACGGTCCAGCAGCTTCAAACCGTTCTCTGTGCCCACCAACAGGTTCACACCTGGAGACACACACATTCACAAATTAAAAGCTTTATTAATTTTGCGTAAAATGACGGTAATCATTGCCTTTCCTATAGCAGCTCAAGCTATTTTGGCTGTACATCTGTGTTGTAACTCTTGGTATTTAAATTTTGTATGCTTTCAAATTTTGTATGCTTTCATTTTCCATTTTCCATTTTCACATGATAACCTGCCAACCTAACACCATGATCTAATTTTATTTAGAGAAGAATCAAAAAAAGAGCTTTAATTAATTAAGTGATATAGTTGAGTCATGCAGTTTGGCACATTAAAAAACAACTCTCAGATAATGTTTTAACACCACAAGTCATCACCTAGGCAAAGTATGATGCTTATGGAAAACAGCTTGTGAGAAGAGGCTGGAAGAGATAGAAATGACTTTGATGGTGAAAGCAGAGACACCATGTTGTCTTATGTTGAGTTATTAATGTCACAATATTTTCAGTTTGTCATATTTGCAAACTGAGCCCTGCTGGAGCTGACATATTCATTTTCCCCAGATACTGAGCCAGAGATAAGAAGGGTTAAAATAACTTGGCTCTGATGTTTTGAGTTTCCATCCAGAGCCTGGTAACTCCAAAAATAATCCTATTTTGAGTGATTAGTTAGTTTAAGGGATCTGACGTTGCTTGGTGCTGAATATTTTCTGCATTTACACTGCAACTGTTCTCACCCCAGAGTGCAGCACACAGGATCTCAGAGTTGAACCTCTTCTTGTACTTGCGGATCTCCGGTGTGTCATTGGGGGGGCGTGTGTTGGTGGGATTGACGTTCACCATTGATCCTTTCCTCACCTCCATCTTCAGCTGCTCAAACCTGGAGCCTAAAGAGGGAGGTCGTTATGGAAATGGCTTAATTAAGGAAGGACGATATCAAAGAAGGGCAAAATGGCACAAAATTTGGAATTAGACACAAATGTCCCATTCATCCTAAGTTCCCTGTGAGGGAAATTAGTGGATACAGTTTTAGAGAATAATGTGATGTAATTTTGTTATTGTACAAATGTTCTCTTTATCTTAAAAAAGCAAGCAAAGCATGACAAGTTTCTGACTCACCACTGACAGACATGTTATCCCCAGTGCCTCCTGGTGACTGGTACATGCCCAGATCCACAAAGGTGGTGAAGGAAGACTTGCCAGATGCTTTAACCAAACCTCTGGACTGATACTGGTGGAGTACAGAGTGTGTATAAGTTGAACAGTGTAAACATGTCTGTGGAAAACTGACATTTTCTGTGCCTATGTGTCATTAAAGCAACACTTTCAAAGCCTATAATTTTGATGATTTTCCACTAACAAGCTGAACAGATCAAATTCAATGTCTTGGTGGACATCATGGCCGCAATGAAGGCAGATAGGGAACACATAAAAATAAACCAGGAATTTAGGACTGATATATTTAGCAGCAGTAAAACTTACATCATAAACAGAGTCCTTCCCAGGGGAGGAGTGAGTGGCTGAATCAGTGGGGGAATGGGAAGGCTGCACCACATCTGGCAAGTTAGTGTATCCATTATGGCTCCTCTTCTCTGGGGTCTTTCTGGTAAGAGACAAGCAGACACCCACACAACTCCATGTATTACATAACGTCAGTGACAGCATTGGATCTAGGCTACTCTGCTGCACCAATTACCAGGATACAATCTGTATGGTTTGCTCATCACAGTAACCACAAGACATGACAGTTGTGACCAAACACGCTTTAAGAAGTCATGTTCTTAACACAGAGAGAGACAGCCTGTTGTTGTGTCTTACAAGTCGCTGATGTGCCACTGTTATTTAGATACAGCTTAAAAGACCAGTGTGTAAGATAAAGGGAGGTTTACTGGTACTGCAGATTTCATCCACCTTAAACCTCCTCCTGGTTAAAATTCCTTCAGTGTTCATTGTTCAGGAGGTTTTTACCAGGAGCCAAATCATCCACAGAGGTCTCTCCCTCTCCAAAACAAATGGACCTGGTGGTTAAAACTGGTACAAACACTAAACGTCACAAATCAGTGTTTCCTCTACGCTGTGTGGCATGCCACAGACGGCCCACTTGCCTACCACCTGCAAATGTGTGCTCACCTATTTTCTCTGATAACTTCATGCGTGCTATCCTTATTTCTGATCCAGATGTTAAGGAGGTGTTTTACCATGAGCCAAATTATCTGCAGAGGTCTCATAGTCTCCTGAGCAAACAGACCACGTGACTGAAACTGGTAAAAACACTGAATAAAGCAGCTCTTGTTGCGGAGGGCCTGCTAACTATGGTGGCCAATGCCAAAATGCAAATGGCCCTATCTTGAGCCAGTTTTTGGTTTGTCCATTCCGGGCTACTGTAGAAACATGGTGGTGAACATGGTGATCTCCGTTGATGAGGACCTGCTCCCTATGTAGATATAAACAGCTCTCTCTCAGGTAACGAAAACAAGTTGATTCTTATTTTCAAGACATTATAAACTAAAGAAAATATACTTATGTCTGTCAATATATCTCCCTAAATCCTACACACTTGGGTGACACACATGCAGGACTACCCACTGTTCTACTGTGACACAGCTGCTTTGAAAACTTTCTTTAAAAACAGCCAATTCACTGTATGTGTGAAAGTAATGGAAATGCCTCCTCTTCATATGTACTGTATATTTGTCATTTTATTTATAATGCGAGACAAATTAATAACTCCATAGCTTACCCTGGCATTCAGTACCGTCACTGAGGCTTGGCACAAATATTTGAAGCTTGCTGCTTATTCAAATGCATCAACACAAAAAAACTATTGCACTTCAGTGAAGTTGACACTTCCCACATTCAACTCATCGTCAGCCACTGGTGAGATGTATGCTGTCTGTCACTGAATCATATTGATGTCTCTCCAAAAATCTCAAAGATTTATACCAACTTAACACTGGGTGGCTTTAGGCATATACAAAATAAAAAACAATATTCAGCTGCAACATTAATGACACGCAGTTGTCATGGTCCACATTTGGCTGATCCTGTGAGCTTCCCAGCAGCACTATGTTGCCTTAAAATTCTGAACCAACAACAGATGTGGAATACTGAAGCTGTGGCTACATAATAATATAGCCTATTTATAGCAAACATGTACTGTACGGTATGTCTGCCTCCTCTGACTAATTTATTCCTGAGTGCTTTTTGAACAATGGTGCAAAATGTTGAATCAACAAAGGTGCTCTTCAGTGAAACTTGACAGTCATCGCTGATGTTCTATGCATGTTAATTATTTCTGCTATCAAACTTCATTAAGAGTGCAGTGAAAATGGCTCCACGTAATCTTCTTCATTTGGTCAATTATGTGTGTAAATAAAAAAAACATAACACCAAACAACCAAACACACCCAGTGTCCTGGTCCTGCTACTTTGTAATATTCTCTAATGTATTGCACTGACTTTCCATCAATTCACAATGCATTTTGAGCATCATTACATACGCAGATGACTCACCCTCTGCACCAGCATGGTCTGATCCCCATAGCCTCCAGCCTGCTCTCCCTCTCCCCCCTCGCCCTCGTCTTCATGAACCACCATGGTGTTGACTGAATCAGTGTCTGCGTCCCTGTGACTGAAATCAATCAAGGAATAGGAGTCAAGGATGACCTAAGACCCTGAGCTTGATAATGAAGAGTGAAAAGAGAGTACAGCAGTTTTACAGCAAGTACCGAATACTTTATTTAAAAGTAAACCTGACACAAAATACTAATATGTGTCTCCTGAATTGTTAGGATTCGTAGATGTTTGTGTTACCGATCTGTGGGGCTTTCTTCCTCCTCTGCTCCCTCGCCACTCTCGCTCTCCTCACTGCTCTCGCTGCTCTCTGAAGAGGACGAGTAATCGTTGGCCTTGACCGGGGGCCTTGGCTGCTCCTCTGCACGCTCCTTGGCAAAGAGGCCATGATCCTGCACACATACATCACCATTTACTTTAAGAAAGCATTGAAAATGTTTTAAACATAATCTCAGTTATCAGAGACAGTAGCAAATAATATACAATCCAAACACAACTGAATGCGAGGGTTCGTATGAGGGATGGGCACAGAAACAGTCCAAATGTAAGTCCATACACAAAACTCCTAATACTCTCAGAATTCAGCCACTTGGTGACATTTTGGGATGATTTTAAGGCACGGTTACAAGGCCTGTGTTGAGTGCAGGATGTCCACATGATAACAGAAAAAACACAAACACATTAAAAAGGCCTTTATGTAAAGAGCTGCATGTCATTCAAAGACAAAACATAATTTACCCAATAAATGAAAACAGTGTAGAGCATCCATGCAATTCATTTTGTACAAACATGTTCTACAACCACTGTGCGCAGATGCATGCATGGACACTGAGCATTGCATAACACACAAGGACACCATGATACTAACCTCCCCTATAGCTCTCTTGTAGCTCTGCACAATTGAGGTAGAGTCAACAAACAGCGATTTGAGAAGAGGAGAAATATGAAGGGAAACAGCAATAGTGTGCAGCACATACAGAGTAAAGGAAAGGTAATGTGAGGGGGAAACCTACAGTATAGCTAGGAGACAATATGTCACTCTACAGAACAGGTGTGTTTGAGATTAAACTGAGCATGTGTGCAGAAAGCTGGTGCTGCGTTTTTATTTTTACAGTACAATACTATGTGTTGCACACCCCTACAGTAATGTTACAACTAGTATTGTAAGTAGGGGATACTGGAGAGACAGCTAACATAATGTCTGTGTGAAAGAACCACTTACAGCAGGGCGTCCAGGGCGGGAGGAGGTGCGAGACTCCCCTGGCTTATGACGACTATCATGGGAGATAATGGGTGAATCCATTTTGGAGGAACCTGCAAATAACAACGTAGTAGTGTGGAGTTATAATTCTGGTATCAGACTTCCTTCACAGACAGTCTGCAGAGAAATAGCACTGGGGAGGCAGGGACTCACTGAGGATGCGATGCCTCTCTAGAGAGCCAGTCTGGGGCAGATTGGATATGATGCTCATACTGTCCGATCTCTCCCAGCGATCATTGCGGCTCAGATCTGGATTGCTGCCATGAGGATACATTGAGGATACACATCAGTTATCTGAAGTCCATCTACCACCATTTAGTAGGCACTAATTTAAGGAAATATCTGATAAATCATTTGGTTGTCCTCTGTACCTGGCTCGTACTGGATGTCTTATGCCAGACGTCAGGTTAGTGTTGAGAGCTGTGGCAATAGACGCTGTCCTCTGGGGAATCTGAGAACAGCATCAAAATCTTACATTTACCAGTATTTTTGTAAAAAACAGTAGCATAGAAAATGACCAAAGAGTTTCTTTTAAACCCGAATACCACCCTTAATAAACAGCAGTAATTTCCTAAAAGAATGGCCTGTCATCAAGTAGGCCAACCATCGTCAGGAACCGCCATGCACCGAAGATGCAGTGAAGATTTTAGTTCAATTAACAACCTTTAAAAAGGTATTCACAAAAACGTAATCCTCGACTGGGTAAGAGTTTTCCCGAGATGTAAGCACCGAGACCTTTCAATGTCAGTCTGCTAACTGTAGTCCAGCTAACATAATATGTGTGTGTAGATATGGGAGTCTTTATGAAAATGACATGCAAAAACCAGCCACTAGATCTCACCTTAGGTGGGAGTTCCACATCTGGCAGGCGGATCCAGGGGCCACGATCATCTCTGATTTGGTGTACCTGTGGTGCCGGGGTTTCAGAAGTGGGGTCTGAGTTTTGACGCACCAGCTCTCTAGAGTGGATGGGACGGGGTGTGGGGGTAAGGGAGGGATCCTGGGTGGGGAATGCGGACATGGTCTTAGTGGGCTGGTCACAGAGGGACTGGGAACGAGGGACAGGGGCAGCATAAGGCTTCAGTGGAACCAAGTGAGCCATCTGGAACTGCAGAGGACAGGAGCAGCAGCAGCAGCACACCAGGAGGAAAGAGCAGCCGAGCGGAAGAAAGAGTGCACAGGACAGTCGGATAAGCAGGCCGAAGTGGGGAGGAATGCAAGGTTGGAGATTTTTTAACGTGTAGGGACAAAGTAACCCCAGATGATGTGTGGAGAGGGAAAGGAGGGAAAATGAGAAAAAAAAGGAGTAAATAAAGGAGCACAGACAAAGAAGGATAAAGCAGCTTAAGAATTAGGGGCAGAAAGGAAAAAGCAGTTGTATCTTGCGTTGTTTTGAGGTTTTAATCCACTGAGTTTTAAACACCCACCTTTCCTTGCCCCCCTTGGGGTTCAACAGGCCTCTGCATTGGTGGGGTCTGAGCAGACTGGACCACTCCTGACTGGCTGATTGAGTCAGAGCGCGACTGGATGGCAGTGTCAGAGACAGTGGTGCAGATTTTGGGTGAGCCCTGTCTGTTGAGCTTACTCCGCTCCTCCACCTGTAAGAGGGATGACAGAGAAAGAAGGGTGTACTTTGCAGGAAGTGTACAGTAGTTTGACTGTGGTGTGTATTGCTTCAAATGTAGGTTACACTGCTACCTCACGGGCCCAAGTCGGTTTGTTGTTGGGCTCCAGGTTTTTGTTGTAGTGGTAGAGCTGGGGCTTCTTTTCTTGCTGCTGTTGTTGCAGAGACACCAGGTAGGCATGCTCCTGCTGCAGCTGCCTCTGCAGTCGCTCTGACTGACGCTGTTCCTCCAGCTGCTTGCGCTTATACTCCTGGGCAAAGAAACACACTGCAGTCAAGCCGTTGCTGGACTCAGACTGGACACAACAGACAGGTTAAGCCGGTCGTGACCGAACCATTTGTAAACAGGTTTGTGTATTAAACTGATCACCACTGGTTTCACCTACTGAGTTAACAAATATTTTGGGCAGACTTTATCATCTCAAAGTGTGTACTCCTATTTTTAGTACAGCAGTCAATTACCCACCCACGTCAGAAGGATATTGATCGTGTCTTTAGCTAAACATTTTGTGCTGTATATTAAACAGACAGTGATAAAAGTGAGTCAGTTGACTTATTGGTTTTTCATTGTGTCTCATAGCCTTTTGATTGCCTTCATGCTCATAAGAAAAGACAAAAAAAAATCACAGAAAAATGAAAAGTGTTTCAAACATAAGTCTGTCAAAGTCGCAAATTAGGAAATGTCTCACACAAAGTTACACCTGAAACAATCTTAAGTACACAGAACCAAAATTAACTTTCCAATAACGTTAAATGCTTGTTTTCCTTTGTTCCTATTCTGCAAATCACTATGGGCCACAAAGCAGAGCAGCAGATTTACAATTCAATCCTCATATGATGCTCATATACGGCCCACATGTTCAGGGCAGTGAATGAAAGCCAAACCAAAATCCTTCTGACAAATGATTGTGGTGTTCCTCCACAGAGTGAAACCCAGCCTGGCACCTGGAGAGAATGCCTCACCCAGGTGCTTCTCTGTGTGGGAGGAGACTTTTGACTAGACCGAGGACGCCATGCAGGGATTACAGTAAATGTCTCAGAGGGACCTTGTTTGAGCTGCTGTGGAAAAGGACATCTAGGCTGCTTTTTCCACCCTGACACAGATATGTAGCTCCTGTGTGACGTGGATATATTATTATTATTTTTCAAATGCAAACAGACAACTTATTGTTATTATTATTGTTGGCACCACTGTTGCAGATCAGCTGGATCACTTTCAGTTTTCCTTAGAGCCTCGCAAATAATTACACCAATATCTGGGTTTCAATCAAAAACATCAACAAATAATTGTCCTTTTATGCACAGCAATCAACAAAGGTAATATAGGTGAATGGGAAAAAAAACACCCTCTTCTTAATATCAATTACAACAAACGAAACTAAAATGAAACCTCCTGATGCCGGCTAACGAAAAATAGCACCAGAAAAGGTCATTTCTTTTAATCAAGACTTCACATTTCCTGCAGCTGCCCATCAAAGCCTTCCAGCAGTTCCTCTGTATTTGTGCCTTTTGTCTGATTTTATTAGATTTTTTAGAGTTGATTTAGTTTAATTTTATTCACATTCTGCTACATTTGTTACTGTCCTTATTACATCAAATGAAAGGCGCTACGGGAAGGCCATTACTGTGAACCAGCTGCATGGAAAGAAAATATTGGATTATTACAGTTGATTAAAATCACCGGAGAGGAGTTCATTACAGGTAGCCTCGCGTCACCAGGCTCTTCACGTACGGCGAAGAGCCTGGTTTCCATTCACTCTGAATTTTGTCTGGATTCTGGTTCCGGTCTAGAGAGCGGATCCGGAATTCACCAAATTCACCAAAGTAAAAGTGTTCACCAAAGTAAAACTTTAAATTGTGGCGCACCATCGAATTCCACATCCGGTCTCTCTGGCCCTGGTTGTGGTCCCTTACCAAAACGGCCACTAAACGGCCCCAGACTAATTACAGGCACTTTTGTAATGACTGCATGGGAGGGGTTGTATATCACGTGATCCTGCAATACCAACCGTGGCCACTATGCCAAAATTGACTCCCAACACTGTTCCTGGAGGTGTGCTGCCCTTGAGCACGACACTGAACCCTCAAAACTACTTCAGGGACACTGTCCCGTGGCCCTGTGCTCTGGTCTCGATGAAGATATGCATATACACAGGAATAAGGGCTGAGCAATGTTTTTTTAATTATATCGATATCCTGGTATTTAGATATTGTCTTAGATTTTGTAAATCATCATATTTTAAGTGTTGAGTACTCCATATTCATACTGAACGTGTAAGTGCCCCGATTCGCCAGTTGTCGTGCTAGCAGTTGCCTGGCCCTTCACACCAGAGGCGCATTTCTCCGTACTGGTCAACAAGTCATTCTGCTCTGCTTTTTCTTTGTCTGCTTGTGTGTGTATGTGTGTGTGTGTGTTTGCATTTAGACACAACTGACAAATATGTGACACAAGCAAGCATGGACTGCTATAACTTATAAGAATTGGATCATTTATATTCCTTATATTGTTCACAACAGATAATCAGTGTGTTGTCTTGCCAGACTCACTTGTGGCTTGCAGAGAAAATAGACCAGACGCCAAAACTATCACTGCACATAATGAGCCGGCGACGGAGTGCGTCATTATATCCACATTACTGATGATTATTTATCAAAAATCTCATTGTCTAAAAATGTTGTAAAAGCACCAATAAGCAAAGCTAAAAATATCGTTGTAACATTGATATTGAGGTAATTTTTCAAAAACACAGTGATATTTGATTTCCCCCACAGAAATTATGGCTATGTGTAACCTTGGAGGAATATGTAGAAAAACTCATCTCAGCTGCCTCATGCATGCAGCAGTAAGGACTGGGTTCCTTCTCCCTACAAAAAACTGGAACAAAGATCTAAAACTATAGCTGAAACCAAATGACAGCATCTCCTATGCAACACAGAAGTTAGCTAAAACAAAGATGTCAGGAGTGTGACAATTCACTGTGAGCAAGATATCCACACACACACACTAATAAACTGAAATCTGCCCAAAACTGCCCCCAAATCTAGGTCAGTGAATGCCTTTTCAAGACATGCAGTACTGTGGAAGCTACACCCATACACAGTAACATGAAGCATGTTTGCATCAAGGTGCTGCGTCTACAACATGAAACTGCTTATTTTGCTACAAATACAAGTAGAGCTTTCGGAAACTGATCGTTGAAGTATTCAGCTGCCTTTTCCTTCACCTAAAAGCATCCACCCCAAACACAAGCAGACACTGCAGTGTTTGATTTGACAAAACACTACAACACTGTGTTTCCTTATCAGAATCGAGGGACTAAAGACAGAGAGGTTTTGTGTGCGGCACAGATTATAAACCCGGAGGCAATTTTGTGATTTGTGATATTAGGTTATATAAATAAAACAGACTTGACAAAAGTCAGTTTTACAGACATTGCACTCGATATTTTTCAGCACTGATCAATAAATCTTCACTGATGACGTACTATAATTGAGAGGACATGGAAACCTCTACAGTCAGGACAAGAGATGAAAAAGGAGTGTTGAGGACTAGTTACCATAAGCAGTGCTTGTTCCTGAAGCAACTGCTGCTGAAGGATTTCTAATTGCCGCTGCTCTTCTTCTAACTTATGCCTGATAAACTCCTGAGGGAAGGTGAGGGGGCAGAAATGACAGGCATTAGGGTGGTAAAAAGAGAAATGAAGGTATAAGGGGGAGGGGTAGAAGATAGAGGCACAAAACAGATATGTAATATCATCTCAATAAACAACAGACACCATGTGTTGTACTGCTAAAAATCAACAATTCTAACACTGAATTTAATTCTAACACTGAAATATGCACCAAGTTGTCAGAGACAAATAAAAGTTAGCATTAAAACATAACACCACTGTTCAGCACTACTTAGAGATTGTGATAAATCATTAGATTGAGGATTATTAAAACACTTAGCAGTGTATCGTGATTGTTGTAAGCTACCATACTAAGATAAAAATCTGTATTTGGCACCACAAGGTGATGATGCTATGATGCCAGACTCTTGTGTTACTGAGGGTAGACTGGAAACAGAGCACAAGAGACGCAGAGAGCTCACCCACAGAAAACTCATCTCTGAATAAATACACTAATTTAGACCCTTGCTGCTATGGCAACCTACTCGTGGAATTTCACCACCAGAGCAACTTGCACAGTGTTGCTGGCGGACACGCCCACACTTCACACTGATTGGCTGAGTGCATCCCCACATCTCCCGTGGTTGGTTACCTGCTCCCTCTCAGCCAACCTTCTATCTTCCTCCCGTCTCATATCGTCGAGTCTTCGATGGGGACCTTTTTCTTGCTGCCTCACCATCTCTCGCTCTTTCCTCTGTTGCTGGGAGAGAAGGGTGACAGGAAAAAGAGGAATGAGCACAGAGGCTATGTTTGCACAGGGGAATTTATAATGGCGGGCCTGCTTATAAGAAAACCCTCCCTTGTTTTTAGTGCAAAGAGCTGGAAAAAGGAAATAAAGGGAGTAGGAATGCAGGGCAGAGAACAGAGGCTTTGAGTCATTCTCACAAACACATACACACACACCTATTGCATCCTAATCATTATCAAAGTGTGCTGCTTTGATTCAAACTCACACTGACCACAGTTATTCACTTTTGGCAGGGAGTAGTCTTTATCTGCTATTTTTTAAAGAGACGTTAAAACAACACGGTTTGTTCTTTGTGGTGAAATGACACAAAGCACACAAAGCTCTTGTCCACTCAATTGTTGTTGGCACTTTACAGTTGAACAGAGAAGCCAGAAAAGATAGAGGAGGAGGTGGTGGTATATTAGGGGAGTTCTATCTCACTGCAGTAAAATACTTCAGCAAATCTCCACAATAATTTTGACAACAATAGCAATATCAGTGTGACAAAGTGTGCCTCATTCAAATCCCACATCACCCGTTAAACATTTCAAAGCTGCTGCCACTTTGTCAACTCACCAATGAGCTGAGTTATTTAGGTATGTCTTTCAAAATCCTCAGCAACATACAAAACCTTTAATCAAATAATGTTAAAGCGAAATTTCGGTTTATTTCAACCTGTCTCCTATCGTCCTAAATTTGTTTCAAGTGACTAGTGACATAAAAATAATAGTTAGCGTGTTAGCCGTTAGCCTAGTAGCGTCAGACCTGTTAAAACGTAAGTGAACGGGCAACCTTCAAGTGCAAAGTTAGTCCACTAAACAAGCTTTTTTTCCACAAAGACCGCCTCATATCGTTAGGATAAATGTCAGAGAACATATAGAAAACTACATGTAAACGTGTTGTCTTACCTTACCGGTGTGCTGCCATGTTTGTTTACCATCTAGCTCTGCTTTCCAAAGCGCTGCTGAAATATCGCGAGAACAAGCAGCGATCTCATACCGTGCCTGAAATCTTGCGAGAACAAGCAGCAACAGCTGGAAGGCAGAACCGGACAGTAGCCTGAAAAGTTTATTCATTTATTTTATGAAAGATTTATAGAATAATGGCTGACTTTTTGCCAGACTTCGACTTTGTGGAGGAGGAATTTGATTTTGCAGAGTTTGATGGCCGCCCTTATTTATTTGAGCCAGAATACACTGACGAAGAGCTTCGTGAAATTGAAGAACGGAGGAGGAGAGAGAGAGAGGCACAACAGGTAGAGGACGAGAGAGGAGGAATGGCTGCTGCAAGGCTGCGTAGCTCTGGAGATTGGTGGTGTACCTGTGAATGCTGTGCCCCAGTGCCCACAGAAGAGGAATGCCTCTGTTGCAAGGAATGGGACCTGTTGCAGCCTTATTTTCAAGGTCTGGATGTGACCGAGGACGAGACACCTCCATCTGGAGTAGTATCCAGCTGGGCTTTATCTAGAGCTCGCGAGATATATTTCGGCAGCGCTTTGGAAAGCAGAGCTAGATGGTAAACAAACATGGCAGCACACCGGTAAGGTAAGACAACACGTTTACATGTCGTTTTCTATATGTTCTCTGACATTTATCCTAACGATATGAGGCGGTCTTTGTGGAAAAAAAGCTTGTTTAGTGGACTAACTTTGCACTTGAAGGTTGCCCGTTCACTTACGTTTTAACAGGTCTGACGCTACTATGCGCCCCAGCTGTATCTAGGCTAACGGCTAACATGCTAACTATTATTTTTATGTCACTAGTCACTTGAAACAAATTTAGGACGATAGGAGACAAGTTGAAATAAACCGAAATTTCCCTTTAAGTAATGTCTGTGTTAAAGGAGCAGTGTGTAAGATTTAGGGAGAATTACTGGCCTCAGGGCAGATTTCAACCAGCTGAAACTTCGCCCAATTAGAATTCCTTCAATGTTCATTGTTCAGAATGTTTTAACCAGGTGCCGAATTATCTGCAGAGGTCTCTTCTTTTCCACAACAAATGGATCAGGTGATTAAAACAATACAGCAGTTTCATGTAGCAAATCAGTGTTTCTTCAATGCTGTGTGCCTACATTTCCCTGATAATTTAATGTGTCCTCACCTTATTTCAAATTGAGACATTCAGGAGTTTTTTTTTAAGTGAGCTAGATTATCCACAGAGCCCCCTCCTCTTCAAAAAAAATCGGACCCAGTGATTTACACAAGAAAAAAAAAAACAAAAAAAAAAAAAACAGGATAAAGAAGTTTCATGTCACATGTCAGGGTTCTTCCGACACTGCTTGTCGTGGAGGGGCTGCTAACCACGGTGGTCAACGCAAAAACAGAATGGCCCAATCTACAATCTGTTCTAGGCTGCTGTAGAACCATGGCAGTGAACATGGTGATTGCTGTGGACAAGGACCTGCTTCCTATGTAGATATAAATGGCTCATTCTAAGGTAACGAAAACACGATTCTTATTTTCAGATAGTTATACACTAAAGAAAACATTATCATATTATGTTCCATTTCTTCAAATATATCCCCTTAAATCCTGCACACTGGACCTTTAAAGTGTTACCTCGACCCTAAAAATTAAATCAAAGCATCAACACAAACTCTGTAATTTGATTCCAATTCCAATGTCAGCCAATAACAAATCATATCTAACACAATGCCATGAGTGCCATGTTTCCAAAGTTTCCTATGTTTGTTTGAAACATGTTGTAACATGATGCAAAAAATTACCATGATAATCTGACTCAACCAGCTGATCAGTGACCTAATTACTTATAAAAGGCTGCAGACTGTAAAGCAGAGCTTTCCTCAAGGCTTCTTTCCAGACGCATAGTACAGACACTTTGGCAGCTCTATATCACATAAAACTTTAAAGGACGTTCCACTGGATGTGAAATATTGGCAACATTACAAGTGTAAATCAAGACTTTATGCCAACTCCTACAGTATCAAACCAGTAGTTGTACTGTGCAAGCATTTACCACCAAAGTCAGTGGGAATTTGTATTTTTACATACAGTGGTTTGAAAACATTGTTAACAGCATTACAAACCCGCCTGAACCAACATTTAGAGTATCAGACTTTGGAGTAGAAAGTTTGTGAGTGATAGTAATTTAATAAAATACAGGACAGGCTGATTATACTTCACTGGTGATCTAGATCTGGGATTGCCAACATGAATAATTATCATGTGTTTCTGCATGGACGTTTTAACTGTGAATGTTGTGCAAATCTTTTCTGTCATTACACTAGGTTTTCTTTTAGCTTCAACACAGCTACCTTAGCTAGCCTGTTTATATTCTTTGACCTTAAAGCCATAAAGATATACACAGATTGTAAAAAAAAAAAATAGCATGCATATTGTTTGTATGCTTTAAGTCACAAAACTGGGCTGTCTATGCAGTAGAAGGACACAAATACTTTTAACATTAGTGCGGTATGACCAGAAAATACAGGAAAAAGGGCTATGGCATTTGCTTTTGCTGATGAGGTAGAAAACCTACAGCTACCACAGTGCACTGTGCCGCACTGAACCAATAAACATCCAGCTCTTCTGTTTTTCCACAGGGAACATTATGGTGACTGGCTGGTAACGATCTCCAATTATAGTTGTACAGTAAACTAAAATGTGTTTCTGAAAACCTTTGAGGTGAGAAATAGGCAACGCAGTAACAGACAGGTTCATATCTGCTTAGTTTTACCATTTGATCTCAGTTTTTCAGTCTCTGTTTTCACAATACAGTAAACAGCATGGCGTCCATTTCCTATTCATAAAACTCTTGTATTACAGCTAAACAGTGCACTAAAATAAGTTTCTTAAGACATTTAGGGAGAGGCAAGATTAGGCAACACAGCAACGGACTCTTGGTTTATATCTAATCAGCTCTGCCTAGTTTTACTGTTTGATCTGAGTTTGCGAGACAGAGAGTGCCTGTGGCATGTGGTATAACAAACGAAAAGCAAACGAAAATGAGGAAGTACAATCTTTAGTTCGAGCACCAAGCCTAGAGTCAACAAATATCCACCAGATGATGTGATTTGAGCTGAGAGATGAGCAAGGAGATCTGGGCGCTTGTAAAATGGAGGGACTATTTACCACAGTTCATTTACACATTCTACCCACACTGTTGTGATACAAAGCTGGTTGAAAATCGGCAAGGTATCCCTTTAACACATGCAGCCTCCAGGGCTGTAATGTGTTAAAGAGGCAGATTAGTGATCTTAGTGTAGAGAAAGTCTGACTCTTGAGCCACTTACGCAATGTACTAATTTCCATACTCCATAAAGGTGAAACTACATTTTCACAGTTTCCATGCATTTTACAAACTTCATACTCAACATCTTACTCTAGGCTACAAAATCATCTCACTGGGGGCAAATGTTTGCAGAATTAATAATTCATACTTGCATTGCAAGGAGCTGGACTCTTCTTCACTTTATATGATCTCACTCTGTTCCCCAGTGTTCACAGATTTATAGTACCATGAATGTTTGTGAACAAAATGTCGAAAAGGTTCTGTGAAAATAACCTGAGCCTTTGTCGAGCCCTTCCAACACATAATGTAGTCATGGAGGCTTTGAGCTGGTGACAAAAACGACAGGTCAAGTGTACTGGTGTGTTTTACATGTTGCGCGAAGGCCTCATTTCCAAATTAAATTTAAGCTATTCAGACATTGTTACTCTTATATGTTGTTTCATTCTGTTATTTATGTTCATAATTCATATAATCAGAGGCCAATAATAGAAGGCAAATCATAACTGCTGTGCACTCTTGACCAAAGCAAGAAATGGTAATCCATATGCACAATAAAGTGCAAATAAAAAGGCAAGTCGTTGGTGGATATAGGACAAAGACAAGAGCAGAACCATTACAGACAAGGAACCTGATATTTTCGTTGCTTGGTACAGTTTTGCTTTGAATTAACAATGTTCTGCCTGTTGCATAATGTATTAGAATCATGAGCCTCTAGCAAAACGAGCAGGATTACAATTAATTACAAAATCAAGGTCAACGATGGAAATAACGTGAAAGACACTATTTTTCTGTCCTTAACAACATCTAATATGTTTGTACTAAAATGTATTGAATGAATTAAAACCAACATCAGACAAGAAAAAGTTGGACCACGAGGATGTCAGCTTGAAGTCTGTTATGAAAATGTGGGGTTAGTATCTGACACTTTGAATGTGGGTGCATCTTAACTACAGACATTTCATCATTCTCTGAAGAAGAGAGATGATTTATGCATAGGTGGTACTTAACTTCAAAAGCAAAATTGCTGATACTCAACCTACATTAGAACCATGTCCCTAAAACATAGCTACTTTTTTTAAATTGGGTATGAACATTGCTCTGTTCACAGTTTGAGAACTTTTTATTCCTTCCTGCTTTTCATCACCAGCTCTGAGTTTATGCAGCATTTTATTTAGCAGGTATCAGACCTTAAATCTCAGCACTGGGTGCAGTGTTGCGCAATAATCTTGGGGAAGATCTATGTTGGTCTCAACACGTTTTCTATTGTCCTCGACGACGGGACAACATTAGATTTGAGCCTTGCTTTTTAGCCTGTGCATAACCGATGTGACACAAAGGAAAACATCGGGCACTGCCATTGGTGAATGCAGGGGTTAAAGCAAGAAAAAAGTTTGTGCCTGAAACATGGAGCACGGAAGATTTGTGTGCCTGAAATCTGAAATCTTTTCCCAAGCGGGGGGCTCGGTGTTTCAGTCACAAAATGAAGAAATAGAAATGTATGTGTTGCAAAGGAACGTGTTTATTATCAAGACGAACAAAAAGATTATATCTTTAGTAGTTACTTTTCAGATTAAACTTTTATAGCATAATGAGTTTATAAATAATGATTAAACTTTCAGTGGTTACCAGACTTTTTGACTTATAGCTCCTACATCTCTTCTTTGCCTTGGTGCTATTTATTTTTAGAAGCTAAATCATTTAGGCTGTTTGCAAAAGTGTATCGCACTTGATGTGAATTAAACAGGCAGCTACGTCGAAATTTCGCCTCTGGGCAAGCATGTCATCATTGAAATGGATCACTTCTGCCCGTGCCGGACAGAAACTTCGCCACGCCGAAAATCCGGTGCTGCGCCGGAGAACTTTAACCCCTGTGAATGTCATCATATTTATTGATAGGCTAATGGCAGTCAACAAGGCATATATCGGTGGATGCATCGGTGCAAAGTTCAAAAATATAAACACCGACCAGCACCTCTGAAGCTCACTAACTAACACACTGTATGTTCTTTGACTAATCCATACAAACAAGAAGTGTAAAAATGTCAAGTTGAAGTGTTATGAAGAGTGCTGTAACCTTTCTCTCTTGGCACAGGGGTTTGTGCCTTAACTTTACTTTTCCATATGTTTTGATCTGTATATGCAATGATTAAAAAAGATGGCGTCTTATAATCCCATGAGTGATGGGCCAAAGTTGTGACACTAAAATAGATAAAAATGAATGAATGAATGGTTAGAGTTTTAGAGGTGCTGTCACAAGTTTTTCTTAACTTTGGGGAGAGTGAGGCTCGCCATTTCCCGCTGCTTCCAGTCTTTACGCTAAGCTAAGATAACAGACCATTTTCACGGCAGACATTTTGACTTGTCACAGTAGGAAAAGCACACAGGTGAAACTGGAAACATAAATGAAGGCTCAGTTTCATTAGGTGGCAACGTAAGCTATTCCACTAAGTCTGCATGCACAATACTGGGGCCTCCCCTAAGTGGAATACAGTTATCATTAATGTTTTTAAATACACCTGTGCTTTCCCTACTATGGCATGTTAAAATGTCTGCCTTGATGAAGGTCAGTTGTCTCCTGAATCATATTTAGCATGCAAATACGAGACTCGTATCATTTTGCTCACCAAACTCTTGAATAGAAGCTTATAAGCATATTTCTAATAACGTCAAACTATTCCTTTACAAAGCAGAAATTCTCTGGTTGATCATTACCTCTTCAAGTCGGCGACGCTGTTCCTTCTGCTCTTCAATGCGTTTCTGCCGGTCATGCAACAGTTGCCTCTTGTGTTCCTCAGGGTCTCTGCGCTGAGCAGCTAGCTGGGCCTGCTGCCTCTTGTGAGCCTCCGAGCGCTCTTTGTTCTCCTGCTGCAGACGCTGGAAGTCCCGCCTCAGGGTGGACTCACCGGGTACATTGAGGATTGAACTGATGATGAAAATTAAAGACATTTGGGAGAGGATTTTGGGGAACGCACAGAGAACACAAGTCAAAGATTGGTACTATTTGCACAGAGAATATGAACTGCGGGTACCTTGACTCTCGGTCATCTCCACGATTTTCATCCTCTTCATCACTACCACTGTACTCATACTCTGTTTCTTCTGTAAGAAAAATGAGCATAAAGAGAAGTGAAATAGTTGGGGTAACCTACAGTACACTTCAGTTGATCACTGACCATGTAAAGACAATGTACCCTGGGTATCTCGTGCGCTTACCCTTCTCTCCCCTTTTCTTGCGTGTACGGTCAATATGGTCTTTGAGCTGAATTCGGACCTGACGCTCAGTGGGCTGGTCCCTGATGAAGGAGTGCTTGAGAAGCTGCTCTGTGGATGGTCGGCTGGTATATGTCTTCACAAGACAGCCTTCTATAAAGTCAATGAATTTCTTGGACCTGGGAGGAAGGGGAAGGTTAGAGGACAATGAACGAGTGAGGGAAAGTGGAAGGGTGAGGAGGCATGGACGGTTGGCAGCTGGGCTGTTATCGCCCAGAAGAGAAATTCAGGCGGGACCCTGATGCGTTGCGTTAAATGATCAGTGGGTACGGCTCCAGAGAAACCGGTCCCTTATGCTGTGTGACTGTGTCTAAGAATGTTGTTTTTCATTTTAACATGTATTTACATGATTTTTTTTGGCTTGACTGCAACAGCTGCTCCTGCACTATGGCACTAGAACAAAAGTCCCTGAGTCTGTGACTGTGAATGCCGCCACTTTCTGTTTCAAATTAAAAGCCCTCTAGCATTTCATACACGGTTAAGCCATAAACCAGGTTTTGACCTAGTCTTGTTTTATGAATCATAGACAGAGTATTTTGAATGTTCTGAAGATACAAAATCACTCCGAGTAATTTTTTTAGCATATACAAAACACTCAAATGTATGTTCCTGTTGCAAACTATCGATATAATCAGCTGACCTGTATTGTGCAGTGATCCATTTCATTCTGCAATGTCTTTACAAAACTAATTTGATTGTCAGAGGAGCTGGCAGCTGCAGTGAACCATGTAACAGTACATACACAATTCTGTAAAACTACTTTACTACCAGTTGTTACTTTCTTCTAACACAATTTCTCTGCAGCTGCAATTGAAATATGAGCACAATAATATGATCATTAAATACAATTCAATGCACTACAATGACAATGCAGTGAACACTACCTGTGTGAGGTCAATAAAGCACAAACAGTGTAAACAACAGCTGTTGAGTTCATGCAACTGTTTGCATATCTTATTTACATTATGTTTTTGTATCCTCATAACTGTTCATTTTGAGTTGCACAATACTGACAGACATCTACTTTATGATTGAAGTTATAAAAACATTGTGAAAGAAACATTCTGAATGCAGTGGGACCATAAACTCTACTAAGTGGGTCCATTAACAAGCAGCAGGAAGAGTAATGGGAGCAAAAAAATAGGGTAGGAGAGAGAATATGGCAAATTAGTTTAAATGACTTCAACTTCTTGTCTTGCTCATATCTGTCTCAATATTGGGTATTGACAAAGTAATCCCTCTCACACTTTGAAACCAAGTGAATAACTGCTGCCCTAAAAGTCTTTAACGATCAAGGAACAGATGCACCCAAAGTAACCTCAAGCATAACATCTGCTTTGAGAAATCAGATTTTTCTCTAATTTTGCATCACTTCTTGTAGGAGCAACATTCCTTCCATTCAGTGCTGCTCTCGTTAAGTGTGTTTATATGCACTTAACCTGGTTACTGGTGCTCTGCAGTAACCTGTTTTCTTAAACACCAAGTAAACCGAGCAACCGCGTTACTGCAGTGCATGTAAATGTGCTTTCCTGGCATGACCTCATTTTTCCCCACTCTGGCATATCATCTTTACTTTTCAGTTTGGCATTGGGAAGATGTTAAAGTTTTAAGGCTTCTATGCACATTTGACATCATATGAAGGGAGCCTGCTCAGTGTCCAGAATCTGATTGATGTAAAACACAGCAGGATAGGTAATAACTCACCATTTTTTGGATTTAAGTTTCGGAGGGGGATTCCTGGGAATCAGGAAGAGGGCTCTCATTGGGTGCATGTCACACAAAGCTACAAAAATAAAAGAAGATGTAGAGAGTTAGGTGTTATTAAATCCTCCTACCCATGCTACGGTGAAACGAAGGAAAAAGGAACATCAGAATAAATTTTATGTTAGACAGAATATCATACCCTCCCACACCTGGTAGTTTGTAAATAATACAAGCCACCATTACACATATTCTTTGTGTCCTCAAACATGGTTACAGCTGCTGTTATCCAATCTTTCCCAGTGCCTCAGGCTTATTGTTACACTGAATGTAAGAGCAAGGACTGTGAGTCATTGTGTTCCCAGCGTAGGTAGGTAGCTAAACCTGACTGGTTAGCTTTACAGTTTCACAGTAAATAGGCTTTTATATGGCTGTCTTTTGGACATATGCAACGTGACTGAGACAGCCAAAGGCAAGAAGAAACTTTGATTTCAGCACTTTAAGGGTTTGAACAGGAGGATCACAAGTATACTGATAATGTGTGCTTCATATAACATGCAGGCTTATACACAGTTATAATGTTAAAGCACAATCAGTGTTTATTCAGTGGGCATGCACTGTTTGTTTTCATTTTTTAAAAAGGAATGGATCACCCACTGACAGGATGCTGGCAATTTTGTCAACTTCCTGTCAGAGGAAATGATCGAGTTAAATACTGCTGTGCCATTTAGTGTTTTATTAAATACTTGGAGTGAGCTGTTCTGTTTGTTTAGGCTTTTAGCTGATCAATTGTACAGACAGCCCTAAAGCTCTGCATTTAAATGATTCCCTTTTATTTGTTGTCCTGACAGCTCTGTGTTTTCTTTAAAGTGTGAACAGACAGAAGAGGTATGGATGGTGTCTGCTCACACAGCGAGTGTACAGAATGCTCAAAAGTGTGTGAAAAAGATGCTTAATAATTCATACGTTCAAAAACAATGTAAAAGCAAGACAATAAGCTTGTAAAGCAAATGAATACATGCCTGTAACTGGCACAATGATGCACCTCAACAAAACAGTGACACATAAAACTGTTGTCTGTCCCATCTTATATATTGTGTAGATAAAATGGCCACAGTCCACCTGTCACACCTTTCCCAATTTCATATGCAAGACAGAAAGGAACTTCAAGGAAATGTAGGACATTGTGTGAATAATTTATAACTACATATCTCAACAGAAAAAAAATATACATATGTATTTAGAAATTTGGTCATCAACACGGTCATTATGGCAATAAAATATAAGAAGCAAGAGAGAGGAAACAACTAAGGCTGCAACTAATGATTATTTTAATCACTGATTAATCAACTAATCAAAAAATGCACTTAATGACAAATATGCATTTTGAGTTATCCAAGATCAATGTGGTGTCTCAGCATTGCTTATTTTTTTTTGGCAAACAGTACACCAAGCATAAAGTAATGAAAAATGAACTTACTAATAAACTGTCTTCCATTTATTTCTGTTGATTAAATTATGATTTCAGCAGTACCATCTAAAAAAAGCTAATCTAAAAACAAGATATATTTATCATTTTATTATTAATGGAAAATATACTTCAGTCATGAGCAGGGCTGAAAATTAACACCCGCCAAGAGCCAAATGTGGGTAGATTTTCCATTTGGTGACTAAATCTCGGAAGGCTATCCACCACATTGGCGGGTAAATGTTTGTACCAAAATAGTCATGTAATAAATTATATATATAATAACTATACGGGCGCTCTGTTTGTTGTGTGTCGCACATAAATTGCTCTCCGCTGCATCAAGGAACCTGTAGGCCTACTCGGAGGACGCGCGCCTAGATCCATGATCTGCTGTTAGTAGCAAGCTATCACAGCGGGCGTCATGTGGCGACATTTACCAGGTGTAGGTAAACCAGCGACAAAACGAAAAAACACAGACGAGGACGAAGCTGAAGCTGTAACGTTACAGAAAAAAAGTTTTGTGAGAAATGGAGGTTCGGCGATAACAGCATTTCAAGAGGCTGGCTACACTACGATACTGAGGGTGCAGTAATGAGCTGTAATGTATGTTGGCAATATGCTAAAAAAAACAACAAAAAAAAAACGTAACAACTCGTTTGTCATCGGTAACAAAACGATGAAGCTGGAGAATATCCGTGACCATGAACGCAGCAAGTGTCACATAGCCTGCATGACTGTGTCCCACACTCAGTCCGAGCCTCTCCTCTTGACACCCGCCGTGACGGCACTCAAGGCCTCTCCTTTAAGCTTGTATTCAACCTAATACTATATTATCTCAATGAAAAGTACTGAAACAAATGTATATGTGACAGAAAAAAGGCAATTCATTATTTTGGCTGGTAAAAAATATGCTTGGTCTGTGGATTTTTTCATCTACCAGTCCTCTTGGCCGGTGAGCCACAAAGTTAATTTTCAGCCCTGGTTATAAGACTGATGGGGTGAGTAAGTACACACTGTATAATTTACAATGGTACATCAACACCAGCTTGACTGTTGCCTGTACGCCTTATGTCATTCCCAGTAGCAGCAACATGGTCTGCAGGAGCACTGCAGTCCTCATCAGTGGTGTGAAAAATGCTTTCAGAACATGAAAAAAGTTATCAAGTGTCTGTGGTACAAATTTATTTCGACTAAGAAACTGGACTCAACTAAAACGTTATATTTTAAGATCCCCACCAGACATGTGTTGATAGATATATTTATGTATATAAATACTGTGCTTGGAATAATGATTTGTATCCAGCTTTTTTTTTTTCCCCCACATAAAAAAATTTAATTGCTGTTGTCCTACTTCCCTGAGATGTGCACGAGAGACTTCAAGTTTCCACTTGGGGAGACTTAATATATTATTTTATTCAACAGAGTGAAGAAACATTTTGTAACAATACAGAGCTCATAAAACCGCAGACTCATATTGCAAGTGTTTCCTACTACTACTACTTCACAGCCAAATGTAATAATCAGTATACCAATAAGTAACGAGTGTAATTTAATTCCTGCTGCAGGTAGGGTTATAATGGTTGCATTATAACAACCACCACCTGGTCAAATGTAGCAGTATACTAGTTACTCACGCTGATTATTATGGAATTTCTTTACCATAACTGCAATTAATTGTACAAGCATTTTAGCTGCTACTCTTAAGTGAGATTTTCTTTGCTTCTTAGTCAGGTTTGACACCAATTCTCTAGGCAGACAGATCTCACCGCAAAGCAGACCAGAGCGATCTGTGCAATCAGCCTCCACAGGCCAACTGCCAGCTCACGACTACACTACCTTGATTACAGTGAGTCAGCTGTCCATCTGAAGACACAGACAACACGGCCGGATATGCAAGACAGACTCATTCATGAGGTCTTTCAGAATGGGCTTTGAGACAATGACATATATCATGTGTTATTGAGAACATGGGAGGACATGATTTAACCAAGAACATGAAAAAAAAAAAAAAAAAAAAAAATGGATTCACTTACGAGGTGCTCCCTCTGCCATCTCAATGGCGGTGATCCCCAGGGACCAAATATCACTCTGCAAAATACACAAGGGACCAGGTTGGTCTCTATCTTCCATATGCTCTCACAGTACAGTACTCTCACACACACAAAGACAGTGCTGCGTTTACCCTGTAGTCATAGGTGGAGTCAGGGTTCTCATCACAGGCAATAACCTCAGGTGCCATCCAATAAGGTGTGCCTATGAAGGTGTTCCTACGCCCAACAGTCCGGTCCAACTGAGCACTCACCCCAAAATCAACTGAATATGGACAAAGGAATCAGAGGAGGAAAGGGTGTGAGACAATGGAGGACAGCATAGACCTGCTTTTGCACTTTTGGCCCACAATTTTTAAGCGTTCAACGTACCAAGTTTGACCTCTGCATTCTCTGTTAGCAGCACATTCTGACCCTTGATGTCTCTGTGGATAACTTTGTGGGCGTGGAGGTGAGAAAGGCCCTGCACACAGATAAAGCAGTCAAAATTGTTCAGTGGGGAGTGACCTCTGCTGCAGACTTGTTTTGACTGGTGAGACGGTGATCCCTTACCCTTAGAATCTCTCTGCAGATGTAGGCAATCCAGTCCTCCTTTAGAGAGCTGCCCTTTGTGTTTTTCACCAGGTCGGTCACCGATCCCGCCCCACAAAACTCCATCACCAGCTGCATTCAGACACACATACTTAGTGAGCACAATTAATGAGGCATACTGCTATAAAATGATCAGGCCAGGTACAAGTGTAGGCAGACCCAAAGTTGGTCATCATGTCCTGGTGGACTCTTCTTGACGAAGGCACCGTAGTACGTGGCTATGTTGCGGTGGTGGCTGTATTTCTTCAGCATGTTGATTTCTGCTTTGATCTCCTCCTCCTCCTCCTCTGTGACATCCATCACCTTGATGGCAGCCAGCTGGCCCGTCTTCACGTGACGGCCCTGACAAGTTGGATCATCATAACAGCGGTCAGTTAAAAATGAACCTGGGACTGGGATGTTTCTGAAACTTTTTGAATTTTGCCCATTAAGTGTAGCTAATTGCTTCATCACACCATTTAGCTGTTCTTATTTTAGATTTTCTTCTCCAGAGTCTAATCTTTCTGTCACAGCCACTTTAAACTTTTCAGACTGACAGCTGAAAAATTTACTGACGTAGCAGTAAACTTTATCTGCTGTAATCTGAGAAATTAATGCACAGAATATTTAACAAAGAGCCGGCACTAGAGTGGTCTTTGTAGCTGCACTCCAGCCCGCAACTCATCACACAAAGTGAAAACTTGCTGTGCTGAATGCTTCAACCTCCAAAAAGAGTCCTACATAATTCAGATATATCATCATCATCATGTCTCACCTTGTACACCTGTCCATATGTCCCATTGCCGACTACCTCAACCAGCTCAAAGATTCCTGCTGGATCCTGTGGGAGACACGGGCAGATTCTTAAATCATCCAACATGAGCAGATACACCAGAACATTCATGTTTTCTGCCTTGGGGTGCCATATCAGCTTAACATTTTCCAAATACAAAAAGCTCCTCATTTGAGAGCAAAATTAAAAACATCACACTCAAAGCACACCATATTTATTTTTGTTCTAGGTGGGTGATGCTTGCTTTGTTCTTTGAATCCTACACATCTGCACTTCAATGCCGACCCTACGTGGAGGTCGTATTTCATGTTGTTACACTCATGTTTCCTCAGTTAAGAGTCACCCTTAAATACTAAAAATCCTACTGAAATGCACCTGTTCGAGTAACTGCTGAAATCTGGCTTCAGTTATGTTGGCACAAAAGCTGAATTAAAAACAAAACACAGTTGAGCGCAAAAAATAAAACCATGTGTTCATAATTTTACACACAAATTTTCTGTCATTTTAATTTCACGCCTTAACAGAGACCTCAGAAACTTTAATTACAATCCTTATATATCGGAAAGATGACAAACAGTTGCATTTAGCATTATTTTCTGCTGCAACAGAAGCTGTGTCCCTCAGTTAAAGTGAGTTCAGCTACAGATCTATAGACTCAACAAAAAACGCTGTCACATAAACACACAAACAAAAGCAAAATGGCCTCTGTAGAATAGAAACCATAGATAAAAACAACCCCAATGGTTTCTACTGTGAACCAAATCCAATATTACAATTCCGTATTTCCATACAAATCATCTGAACTCAATCTTCCTTGCCGCCCACTCACACATTCACCACCCACCCACAAGACTTACCATGGAGGAAACAGACAAGCACTAAATATTGATACTAGATTAGATACAAAGATATATTGAACATGGGACATGACTTCTAGCCTTTCCCCGATTTGTTCATTTCAAATTTCAAGGCACTGAACACATATTTCACTGACACTAATAATGAGTAGGTTGCTTTGACTTAATTATGCAACCCCAACCCCCAAGAGACAAGGGAAATGACAAGCAGTTCCACTTTCATGCAATTTCAATATGGCTTTAAGAAGATGTGTGGGTGGTTAGACTGCTGCTTTGGGTTTAGAATGTACAGCATGACCTATCCTGCTTTCATCTGTTTCCAATGATGGGTTTTCTGCCTTCAACAAGGAGGGAAAGAATTCCTTTGAGACAGGAAACATTTATGGGGAAAAAATAGCATCTATACTTATGAAAGACTTGGCAGTAAAACTGGGAAATGACCACACATTTGATGCTAATGCACATAGCTCATAAGCTGACATAAACACACCGGCCATATTTTGAAGCATGTTATGACACAAAAGAGGAGGGGGGGGGGGGGGGGGGGGGGGGGGGACGTAAAGTAGGAGGCAAGAGAATGATGGTATATGGAAGAGAATAATGTAACGACAGAGTGGGTGGCAAGGCAGAGGCGGTAGCTTCACCCACGTCCAGCGCAGAGAGTGGGATGAGAGGAACGAAGTGATAGACGGGGAAGGGTACAGTTTTGTTCGAGGAGTAGCACCACTGGCACACACAGTCAAATTGTCAGTGGTAATTGGGAAAAAAAAAAAAAGGCAAGGAAGCAGTAAAACAACAGGGTAACTGGAGGAGAAATCTGCAGTCAACCTACTTAAATCATAAAAATGGTAGCTGGATCCCATGCTGTCTTATTAATGTGTAAACTCAATGTACTGGAACACCTCAAGGAACAATGCAATGAATTTTCCAAAATATCAACCTCGGTTCAACGGGATATAAACTCTAAAAGACACCAGTAATGGTCCATGAGGAAGTTGACCACACATTTCCTGCAGTGGTGTTAACTTAGCTGACAGAGGAAGTCTTTTTTTTTTTTTTTTTAAAAAAAACCTGCCTCATCTGTGGTTACACAGCTGCAACAATAGTCACAAAACACAACTCAAACATTTGCATTTCCTGAGTAATATCATTAATGAACAATTTCCTAGTTAACTTTAAGTGTTTTTAAATGGCTTCCTAAATACTTAAATTTATTTTCTTAAATTTAACATATTAAATAGCCTGTCAACTTCTTAGCAACCTCACATAATTTGCTCATCACAGTTAAGGATGCTACTGTTGCACTTTGCTACCATTATAGGCCCATTGCCAGTTAACCCTTTGTGGGCTAAATTACATCCATCTACAGTTAGAGAATATCCACACACATCAGGATTTTCAGAGTTATTTTTAACTGTTTTACCTGACATTGTGAATTCATAATCACAATATGAAAGAAGGCATGGAAATGGAGGGAAAGGCAGTTGACATTTCTGAACTATTTAATATCCGACATGTTAACTGGGGTTTACAATGAAGCTTTGTAAAGTGCAAAACCAATCCTGGTCAGATACTTTATAGTCATATTACAGGATTATTCTTTTTCACACTTATGTAAGGTTTTTTATGCCAAGCATAGCAAGCACTGTTTGACTCCAAAAAAATAAAATCACAAGACAAAATTTCTCATGGGTTTCATTCCCAGAGGGCTGGTATTCCTTGTTAATCAGCATCCAGAAACCCTTATCACACGATCAAAGTTTCTGTTTGACACTGAACATAAGCACAGACTTTCTAATAGTTTAAAAAAACAACTTAACAGGTGAAATTCAGCAGACACTTTTGGAGTATGGCCTTGTCACTTTGTATTTTCATAGTTCTAAAAGTCTAACGTATTGTCCCACCTGTGATCAAAACAACTGTGCAGGTGGTTTGATTTAATCCAGTGGTATTGACATCAGAACAAAGCGTTACTGCACAAATGATCTGTTATTGCCTGTGAAAAGTGGACTACTGTTATGTAATGTCTTTCTGTACTCTGTAGCAAATTTCTAGAGAAATGCTTAATTGAGCCACTTAAAGGTTCCCTGTAGAGTTTTGTCCTCTTGTAGCGCTATGGAGCTCTTTTTGTGAGTGGGTCGCAGTTTTGTTTATCTCATCCGCATGCACAAGGACGCAAATGCATGCACGTCTACGAAGGTGATGTGTTACATAGTCCTACCAATAGTTTCACACTAGTCTGCTAATCAACAGGTGGCAGTAACACCCAAGATCTGCTGCAAAGCGCTGACAAAGGCAGGGAAGAAGAGAAGAGCTAGTCAACAAAAAAATCACTTTTGCAAATGTTTTATGTGGAAGGAATTGCATGCACAAGTGACGTTTCAAGCTACCATGTGCAGACTTTCTCATGTTGTTCACTACCAGTCTTTTTGTCCAGCACCTGCCCTAAACAGTTTTTGGATGTGCATGACTGCTATGTTTTTTTATATATTTTGTTGGAGCTCAGGGATACACACAATACCTTTTGATGAGTGATACTTAATGTAAAGCTTACTTTTGTATGTTTACAAGTAAACTCCACAGGACACCTCTAATGGTCACTTAACCCAAATCACAAAACTTATCTCCGGGGGTAGCTGGCCATGCAGATTGCCTAATACAGTGGAAGTGAATGGATTTCCTTTACACTGTTCAAACTCAATAGTAACTTCATTTTCCGACAATAACAACTACTGAGTGGCCAGGGCCCTACCAATAAGCAGTCGCAATATTCACACATTACTGCAATTTGCTGTACCATACCAGGCCACAAATTGCAGTGCAATTTTTCACAAAGTCAATTTGGGCCAAAATGCACGCAACAAAATACTTAGAGATTCTATTGAGACGGATATTACAATTCCCAAATTCAATCAAGTGGTTGTATGTCCATTCGAAATGTCACAATAATCTCAGATAATATGGGCAATGTTTTCATATTGCCATTTTATACAGGGTTATTATAAAGAGTTGGGTCTGTTCTACCAATGTGTAGGGGTTTTTAAAAGTTAGATTTAAACATTTAGCATTCAAACATTTTAAGTCTGGAAAAAGCAGTAAGACAGGACCAAACAAACCAGGATTTGGATAAACTACCCCTGATCTCCTGTTAAGCCCCATAAATCTGTGAAAGCTTCGCCAAAGTGCCACAGAGTTGCAAAGGAAACCCTTTACATTGACTTTTTCCCTTAGAAATCTTTTAGAACAGCTCATATGTTCTGATATGTTTGAATTTCTAATCGACAGCATTTTTTTGTGTGTATGTGTATGTGTGTGAATTCCTCAGCAGTTTCTGTTTTGAAAGGTGATGCAATTTCTTTTTCCCATGGAGTAACCAGTTACACTGGTGTCAGGACCTGATACTCTCAATTGTTACATCAGGGTCTTGATGACCACAGATGCACATTGTGAGCAACCCTTTGGTCATTTTTGAGACTAAAAATGCAATCTAATATAAAAGTTAAAACTGAAGTTATCTTTAAATGTGTATGTAAGTGGGGGAGATGGAGCTGAAATCTGTATTTTCAAAAAAAGCAGTGACTGAATGTGTAAAATACTTATTTGTAGTGCTAATAATGGTCTGTCTAACTGGGATTTACTGCCGCAACACATTTATACAATTCTAACACTTTCTATTTAAATAGAGAGATGCATCAAAGAGGATATCAGCAACCCCTTGTTAAATAGATCATTCATCAGGTTTATTTTTTTCCCATTTGACTTAATTTCTTGTCTTTCCAAGTGTCTGTCATGTTAGAGGAGGGTGGTCAAAACAAGCCGGTTAGATTTTTAAGCCTAAGGCCTTCAAGGTGGACCACTGAAAAATACAAGGGAAGCAAGTCCAGGACTTTATGGTTGCATCCCTGACAAAACTAAACCACAAAGATCAGATCCAAAATTGACAAGGATATGATCAGAGGATGTACCATTCAACTTGGGATCACTATCATCCACATATGAAAAAAAATACCTCCAAAACAACAATAACTGAAACAAAGGAGATCGTGTTTGTGCATTGCACATCGCATCGTCTATAACTGGTACAGAGAAATACCAGCCCTTAACTACAGGATAAAGCGTTTCAGCTGCTGCATGACTCCTCTGTTGTTTATTTAATTAACACACTAATAACGAAAAGTGGTAAAGCCTGGAAATCCGCTTCTTCATTGGGTGGAGAAATCAGAAAACATCCCTGATGGGTAATCTGTGCTCCTCAAACAGCACAGTTGCCTAAAGCAATACAAGGCCAATGGATGTTTATTCCACATTAACTTTGTTGCGTGGGTGCTGAATGGTCGTGCTTGTGTCAGAGGCAAACTGACACTTCAGCTCATATGACGTAACATCTAATGAGCCCGTCTACCATAAATCCACATGAATAAAGTGCAGCACACTGATCTTGCAATAACAATACTTACCCTCAGAGCTGCGAGGTCTATGTCATCCAGGCTTCGTGTGGGGGCGTTTTCAGACATAGCTGGCGAAACTTAGAACCTTAGCTACCAAGTTAGCCAGTTATTTGACAAGAAGTACTTGGGGGAATTTGAAGTGGCTGCTGAGCCGACCTTAAAAGGCCTTATCGGTAGATTAAATACAGCAAACGAGCTGCCCGGTGTGTTGAAACTGTTGCGGAACAACACGGTAGCACTTAGATTAGCAAACACATCGCAGATAGAGCTGCCACAGACGCACCCAGCTGGCTAGCTCACGTCAACTCTGGCCGAGAGCTATAATGTTATCCGCAGTTGTTTTACAGAAATGCCGGTTGCAATATCTGGTGAGAACACAACTTGAAATAAAAGATTTCAACAAACTGTTAACGTCACCGTTAGCCGGCCATCGGTACCGATCTAACAACTGGCAGGTTTTCAATGCGATGCACCTCCACTGTTGTTGAACACCTTGCTGCGTTCATTTTGACAAGACGCCGCGTCTTCACTGCTGTACAACATTCAGCTAACAAAATGATGCGTGTCGCGGAGAAAAACTACCACATATGTCCGCTGTGCCACAGAAACATTCCTTGTTACGCTGTTAAAGTGGGAAATGACATTAACGGCTTAGCAGCGCAGTGGTTGTTTTTAAGGAGAACGCAATGTCTGATGTGATGGCGTCCGGGTCCGTCCGCACCGCACCAGAACCGACTGTCAGGCTGTCAATATTAGCCTGAAATACACGTCCTCCCAGAATATCAACACAGGTGTGGAAAACAAAAAATAACGGCTTCGTTTGAAATACGATTCTTCACGACTGCAGTTGTCAAACTTGTTAACACGACTTAAATATTCCTCGAGCAGAGCGCACGTTCATTCGAACACCGAGTCAGGTGCGTGCAATCAATCAAACGGTAACTGGCTAGCTAACGTAGCTAAGCTAGTCGGCTAAAATGGTCTTTTCCAGAATAAACTTTCCTTCTTCATCCATTTTCTGTGTTGACAGTCGCGCCTAGCACTGCCAACCTTCCGGGGAAAAGCACAGGCAGACAGACAGGCACTATTTTCTCGCCAGCCACCGTAATACTTGTAAACCGGGGCCCTCGACTCTTTAAAGTAGCGTAGCCGTCGTTCCCCAGAGTCCAAATTTTATGAACTTGTAGTTGTAGTCCAACACTACAGAGACGGTGCAGTTTCAAAAAGCGGCTAACAGCCAAACTTGTTATTTCGCCATGTTTTGCTTCCCGAGTCCTCCCTCCCACTCCCAGCCTTGTTGTAGTCTTGCGGGGCTGCACTGACGATTGGCTGCACATAACACTCCTCAAGTGTTTTCGCCTCTTGGATAGCTACGGTGCTCCATCAGGGACAAATTACCTAGGAAATTACAGTGGACCTCAACCTACGCAACTGCCTCTGTCTACTGTGAGCAGCACAGCCGAGGTCATCCTCTGACATACCTGTCCTGCACTGACCTGCTTTATAACCTCATAGATAAGTTAAAACTGAATAAAAATATTCTGGATAACTAAAACACACACTGCAGTATATCATATATGATCTCACCTGTTGTTTTCCTCTGGTATGCTGCCATCTTAACAGCTTTATGACTGCTATAATCATTTTTTCCATTTAGACAGGCCTATCTTATCTTCATCAGGTCATCATGCTTGTCAGTAATGAGTGATTCACTTCCTGTGTCATGTCATAAAAAACTGAGGCTACAATATGGCAATAATTGGTGCTTTATTGAATGTTTCAGCATTTACATAGAATATGCACTTTATTCAATTTCTGTGTCAAATACTGCCCATTTTCTATAAAAGCATGTTTTATGTCTACAGTGTCTCCAAATTAATCTATTAAAATACATTATTTAGTCCAAGAATATACAGATAGCAAAGGATGTTACTGAAATTTACAGTAATCGAAATAGCAGTGGGTCACAGAAGATATAAATCTCACCATTAAGTACATTATCACTAAAGTTATTTTTTTTCTTGCATAACATCACGATCTGCCTATAAATAATATCAGTAACTCGGGCTGTGGAAGGCAATTTTTGATATACCCACATCTAGACAGTAGTCTATTGTTTAAATTTTAGGGAACATCTTGAATAACATTATGATTCTTAATGACATGGCATGAAATTCCATTAAAAATGTTTTTTTTTTTTTCATATTTAGCCCAGGTATTTAATTATTTTTCAATGTTTATTTTTGCCTAGATTTATTTTAAGTACTTGTATATTGTATACTCAGTACATACGTCTGCCATTTAATTTGTATAATTATTTTGACTGATAAACAATTTTTGAAATCAACTTACAGTAAAAGTAGATACTGACTTTGAAATTCCATTAAAAAACAAGTTCATTGAGGAAACAAGAAGAGTAACATACTTTATGGTAAAAGTCATTCATAACTGTGCTGGAGTGATTGAGTTAAATCGTTTCTTCTCTCCCTCCCCCTGAGTGTTAGTAACTTAAACATCAGCAACTCTAAGGTAATAATCTAGACCTACAGATTTGCATACACAGAGGTTTTCACATGGTGACTGTTAAGGGTAATAGGGATGAGTTAAAAGGACAAGTTTATATTAGTAGTATATTTCTAAAATGTATTGCTAATGCTGGCTATTATTCCAATAAAAATAAAATTCATGATAGAAAAAGGATAAGGTCACTTCTCAGTATATATCAGACATTTCTACTGAATCTTTAAAAGAAGAGTACCCCTCAAGGCAACCATTTTGTGCTGTACAACAGAGGCAAGCAAATACCCAGCTTCTAGTGTGCCAGGGCTCATAGTGGCTTTTTAATGTCTTCCAAAGTAAAGTGTGAACAGTTCTGAAGCCAGCAATGCACCATGTCTAAACACAGATGGTTTCCTAGCCTCTCTGCAAAAGCTGCTTCATGTAGAGGCAAGGTGGCGTTCACGTGGGACACTTATCACCTGTTAGATTCACAGACATGTTTGCACTGAAACCACCTTGGTAGTGCTGTTGACTTGTGGGCTTGTCTTGAAAAGCTTATGAAGAAGCTTGTACAATTTCACTGGCTCCGTCATAGATTCAGCATATTTTCACTTTTTAGGATGATTAACTGGATTATGGTAACATCATGCACATCAACCCATTAATCACACAAAGTCCAATGAGAACACCATGGAAAGACAACAAATATGAAACATAAAGTCCCATTAAAAAAGCTTCATATAGACCAAATCACAATGTTTGCCAACAATAACTTCCAGGTAGAAAACCCCCGCATCACATACATAAAATCAAACGGCGCTGAGCAGTTTGTCAGTTAGTTTTCAGCCCCCTAAAAAAGGCCAGCCTAAAAAAAAATCATTATAAGTTTTAGTGTACATTTTATTTAGAATAATTACTTAGAACATTCTCCAACGGGAAACTGATGTCGTTATATCAAAGCCTCCAGACTCTACTGACAAAAACAGCATTTGTTCTTCACAGAACACTGGCATTGCTGGGCTACTGCTGCTTTCATCAGCTGGTATTGGTATGTGAGGTTAAGCTGATCAACCAGCCTTTTAGGTGGCTAAAATACATTTTGCTGCGGCCTTGTGCTCATCAGCTCATTGCTTAGCTCTTGTGCCAGTAGATTTGGTTTACTTAAGATGATAGCAAAGCAAACCAGTACATAAAATAAGCGCAGTGGGAATTAATGATAGGTTTAATTATATATATTTAAGCATTACAGTTATGTCTGAAAATCACAACAGAAATAAACAAGTTTGCCAATTTTAGATTTCATCCAAAGCTAAAATCAACTGCCAGTTGTCTACACATAAGTGATTGTTGCTGGCGCGACGTCCTGATGATTCAGTCTCCACTGCCTATTGTCTGCCTCTTTTTTCTAACAACTCTAAAAGCCTTGGACACGATACAGGTGCTTTGTCGAGGCACTGATAAAACTTGGCAAGACCATGTGTCATGTGAGAAACCTTACAACACGTAAACATTGTTTTTCCCCAAGTGTTTGATCTCAGGTTACAGTGCTTCCTTATTTTACACCCACCTTGGTCAAACTCCTTTTCTGTCAAACATGTCTTACAGCTACGGAAACATGCATCACATTTTGTTGCATAAAAGAAACTCAAGTCCTGTTTTTCTACTTAAGAAAGGCACCATCTACTGTATGTTCTGCTGAATTATTGCATGCTTTTTCCAAGTCAGTCAATGCAATAATTCAAGAGGGATGCTACATATTTGTTCAGTGCAAGACTTGCTCAATAGTAGTCACTCAGTTTCTCACGGTGCGGTAAAGGGAATCAGCTGGTTTCGAGAGAATAACTGACGTGATTTTATATGAAATAAAATCTAAAGCTCTTTGTGGTTTAAGATTAAAAATAGTACTTGCCTTTGCTTCACAGGAGCTGCACTGTGAATGAATGCCACATTATGTCACTCCTCGGTTACAGTGTTACAGCTAAAAGTAATGCGCATAAATATATGACTGGTGAATGTCAATTAATGCAGGTTAGATATGTGAGGAATTTAATGGCACCTGGACACAAAACCATGGAAATCGCTGAAGTGGATAGTGGAATGTTTTGTTCTGTTCTGCTGACAAAATGGTGAAATAATAATCCACTTTGGTTGTCATGGTGACTTTAAAAAAAACGCAACAATTAGTGGTAAATCTACCTAACACCCTTTAATTATCTTGTCCTCCTTTTCGTTCCCTCTCACAGTTTTCCCACCTGATCACTCATCCAAAAATATTAAAACGACTTTGCTTCCACATAAACTGTCAGTCCTCTTTCAACATGTTACCGAGTATTTTCCGGTACATTGTCCTGATTTAGTAAGTTCTCCCTCTTATCAGTACTCTCCTTTCCCTGCCCTATCTAGTCTTTATTTCAGCTACAATCCAGTCATCTCTTTTTATCCGTCACCATAACAACCACAAATGTTCTGACAGATTTGCTGGCACTGCAGTGAGAGGTGAAGCCTCAGAGGGAGAGAATGAGAGCGAGCGCGCGAGAGAGAAAGAGACAGAGCCACCCACCCACCCACCCAAAAACCTTGCACCAATAAATGTACACTATGTTCTCAGATCATGTGAGATGCTTGATTTCCAATACAACCTTGCAATCCTCTCCTGACTCATACATCCGTTTATGTGTGTTTAACACCACTGCCAGCCCTGCACTTCAGATTCAGAGACTGCCATCATGAACAGCTGGTCAGTTAAGGTTAATCGATAATAAAATCTGCATTTCACTGGTAATATTCAGACTAGCTCCTTGTCAGTCAAAAAGACAATACAAAAAACATCAATGATTCATAAAGAAATTGTGCCGGGGTGATGTATTCTCCTCACCATTGCTGTGCCAGTGCTGTAACTACTTTAGTGTACTGTGCTGAACATCAGAAACTACGGCAGCCCTTTAGCTGTTATGTAGTGGTTTGATCCACACTGAGGTGCGGTTATGTCCACAGCCATATAGGAGCCATGCCTTCTTTAGTGCTTATTGAAGGCATCAGGTACTCCTCACACAGGAACTTCAGGGGGAAGTAGACCAGCAGCCCCCGGATGGCCTTCAGCTCCTCTATGGCCTTCTCAGGGTCTGTGTCGCAGAGGCGCTCCTGGCTGGTGTACTCCTTCAGCTCCCGCATGTTATGGACACTGTCATGGGGCAGGCATTTGAAGACCTGTTGCACACCAGCCAATGAAACCAAAGTAGAAGTGAGAAAACGGATACTACACATTGCTACTGTACAAGTTCATGATTTATGATAACCAGTCTTTGGTTTAATCTATACCTTGTCGTAAATTGTGGCGTTCAGTTTAGCAGCTGCATTCCAGCTCAAGAAGAAGAATTCATCACTGATTGGATCATCAACATTGATACTGGGGTCTGAAGAAGCTCCAACAAGAACACTGGTGAGGGAAATATATAATAAAGGCCAAACATTCAGCAAGCACAGAGCATTCAAGCAACACAAATGTTCTGTTAATGGTACAACATGCTTTAAAGCTCTTAAAGGTCCTATGTGACGGATTTAGGGGATATACTGGCAGAAATAGAATACAATAGAATAAACATACAAATAAGAATTATCGTGGTTTCATTATGTAAGAATCAGCCTTTTATATCTACATAGGGAGCAGGCCCTCATTTATTGAGATTGCCATGTTCACCACCACGTTTCAAAGTAGCCCATAACGGACAAATCAAACACCGGCCCCAGACAGGGCCATGCGTGCCTTTGTACTGGCCACCGTAGTTATTAGCTCATCTGCAACGAGCAGCGTAATGTGAAACTGCTTTATTCAGTGTTTTTACCGCTTTAAAGGTAGGATCTGGAGGATTTTCAAACAAAACAAAATATAGACATATACAAATGAAATCCTTCTTAATCATTACCTATGGGCTTCTACTCATGTGTGGTGGTGACTCTGTTTGCAGAGGTCCTGCCCTTTAACTGTATTTTGATGTTTTTGTGAGCTCGGACGCTGGTGCCGTGCCCGAGCGTGTCCGAGCGTGCACCAGCGGGAGCCTTGCCTGAACCTCTTCTGTGAAGCTTTCTTCCGTACCTCCGGGCTCCATACACCCGGGAGAGTTGAGCCTGATAGGAGGGGCCAAATTTGAATGTGTGTTTATAAACAGCAACTGGAAAATCCTCCAGACCCTACCTTTAAATCAGCGGGTCCATTTGATTTTGAGAGGAAGAGACTTTTGTGGATAATTTGGCTTATGGTAAAAACCTCCTGAACTTCTGGATCTTAACTTATCAGAGTGATTGCCAACTAGTGTCGGAAATACACTGATTTTTTTTAATGTAAAACTGCTTTATTCAGTGTTTTTTACCAAAGTTAATCACTGGTGAACTGTTTGTTTTGGAGAGACAGAGACCCCTGCAGAAAATTTAAAGAACAAGGAAGGAATTCTGGTCGGAAGAAGTTTCAGCTGGTTGCAATTTTCAATCCTTACACTAGATGGCACTAAATCCCTCTAGAATGGCATTTAATGGGGAGAATTATTACTTATCTAGCGAAGAACTGTCATCTCAGGTGGTCTGTGGTTTTTCAATTGTTGCTAGCTCAAATTCAGTGGCCGACACTTCTTGACACATTTTACACGTCTTGATTTATTTTCCAGAGACAGACAGGTTGGTGATACACTCCCTTTAAAACTGTGTTACGTCTATGGAAGAAGATCATTTCAGGAGTTCATACTTCATTCTGACCTGAAACACTCTTTGCGCAGAGCAAGTGTGATGGGTCCTGCCTGGTACTCCTCCCCTCCCATGATGGATGGGACCCGCTCTTCATCTTCCACCAACACGGCCATCTCACTGTCTCTACTGCCCAGCATGCTGCGGTCATTGATGTTGGCTGATCCTGGAAGACAAGCGGAAAATACCAGCATTATCAATCTCTTCTTTCAGAGGCATCACTCATCAAACCAGTGTTGGACGCATGAAGCAACTATATCAGAATGAAGTAACCTCTGACAGCGTAAATTTTCTTCAGATTTGAGTTTCTCCTGTTCGGTACAGTGTAATCTGTATATCTATTGTTCAGAAATGGATATGATTTTAAATGTTACAGGTTTATTCTCTGAGGATGCGGAGCTCAAATCTGACAAATCATAGTCCGTAAAATAAATTAAAATCGAGCAAATAAAACACTAATTCAATCATTTTGATTTATGTTTAACCATTTCAAACTAGTATAACATATAAAATATAATCCCTTAGATTGAAGTCCTGGCCATAGCTAATACATATCCTATTCATGCCTCACAATAAAGGCCATCCCATGTGTTGCGGCTTTTAATGTGAATGAGTACGAAACGCTATATTAGTATTAGCACCAACAATACAGCTACAAATTCAGCATTAGGAGAGTGAGCAGTAAACACCAGGTGGATATTAATGAGATAAAATTACAAATAGCAATGCAGGGTTACATGCTACATCGTTTCCTTTGAATTTCTGGTGTGTGTGAGGGTGATTTGAACCCAGCACAGGAGTGGCGGACCCCGCCACTAAGAATGAAAACTACTGTATAGTGAGGTAATTACAGAAGGTAAATACATTACGTGACTTTCTGAGGTAATGACGACAATAATTAGTATCAAAAATTAAGTTTGAATTCATTAAAATCTTTAAGATTTTTACTTAAAGGCTACTGGAATACTTAAATGACTGTCCTGATCTCAAAGCAAGAACCTTATTATTTGCATATAACATAGACACCGTGCACTTGATCTTGCTATCACTGTGTTTTAGTTCATCCTTCTTAAGGAGCTCTGATTTGTAAATAATAAATGTCATCATCTTTATTATTTATTTTTATAAATAAATGTCAATATATTTATTCACTTGCATATTTTTAATTTTTATATTTGTCAGCGCTGACAGGTGCAAATGAACTACAGCTGAAATACACTGATGAGAGCACACTGTAGTTCCACAGCTCAATGATGACTCAAGATCATAATGATGATCAGTTTGTGATCAGCTGGGGTGACTCACCAATGATATAGCAGCGGTCATCAGCAATGAGGGTCTTGCTGTGAACATAGATGAGCTCTGTGACAAGCGACTGGGAGAGTTGGGAATGTGTTCGCAGGCCGCAGAGTGTGATGTACTCTGTCCACAGGTCCTTAACTGGGGGGGGGGTGAGAGAACCAGAATCACATTATTCACAAGAGTAAATACAAAAATACAGTAAAGACTTAAGAGGAAATTCACATAGATCTTTAAAATTAAAGAAAAGAAGAAGTAGTCAAGGATGAAAATGGAGACTGGTGGGCAGATACCTAGTACCAGTCGCTTCAGATTAAAGGGGCAACATGAAGAGAAAGAAAGAAACAAGTTAGAGAGGAAACAGGAGGTATTTTGTGACGTCAGATGGATGTTTTTGTGTCGAAATGAGAGCAGATAAGTGACAGAAAACTTACCTTCACCAAGTCTTGTCAGGATGGCGTGCTCCCCTCGACACATGGTTCTATGACATTAATTATCCATTATAATTACAACAAAACATAGAACGATACACTACACATCATAAAAATATTAATAATCTTGGCAAACAGCACGCTTCAGTGAGTTAACCTCTGGGCATAACATTGACAACAAGCTTGGAATTTTCTGATGGATGAATACAAAGTATGAGATCTTAAAGGAATACTTCACCGCCCAAATCACCATTTACATATCAATTACTCATTGTTACACTGACTTTTTGGGAAGAAATTTTTGTTTTTCAGCATGGATTCCTCTTGCAAGAATCCAAAAATGGAGAAAATTCTCAGTGAACTGAAGTAAAAGGGAACAACAGCAAAAAACTTGTGTTATCCAAGTCTCATTTATCAAGTCGTATGCTCGGTACTTCCCAAAACGACAGCCCTTTCTGACAGGGAACTGAACCAATAGTGAAACTTCTCCGTGCTCTTTTCAGAGCCAGACTCCATTGACAAAAAACACAATTTTTTCCTCATTTACTTTGTGATTTTGCTGAATCCAAATTAACCCTTTAAAACACTATAGTCACACAATAACACAAACTAACTGATCGACGTAGCGGCAGACCAGCAGCTTCAGTGTTCAGTTAAAAAAATGACTGTTTTCAGTCAGTAAGGATTGTTGAAGCTGTTTTTCTCTCTGTCATGGATTATGGTGACATCATTTATATACATGTCTCTGCCTCTACTTATAAGCCCTTGGATGCAGTTTATCATTCTGCTCTTAGGTTCATTACTGGTCATGTCAATAGCACTTATCACTGCGTCCTGTATGAAAACATCAGGTGGTCCTCTCTGTCTGACAGACGTGATGAGTATATGTATCTATAAGGCCCTTATTGGGGAGCAGCCATCTTGTGTCCTGTCTATGTTTCAGTGGTCTCTTGGACTGTATCATACTAGATCAAATGATTGGCTTTTATTGCAAGTCCCTAGAGTTTGAACCGAGCTTGGAAGATCTGCCTTCTGTTGTCATGCTCCGTCAGCCTGGGACTCTGTGCAGAGAGCCTTAAAAACAAATTATTAGGTAACCCTTTGTCACCTGTTTTAATTTATAGATTTTATTACTGATGCATGGATATTTTACCAGCTATAGTTGATTTGCTTTTTTAATTGGTATCTTGTATTTTCTTATTTCTATTCATACTATATTTAATGGTTGATTGTTCCTTGCATCTTGTATCTTACTATATAATGACGAAAACTCTGTGTGTGTCTGTTCCACGTTTTTCTCCTCACTGACTTGGTCAATCCATGTGAAATTTGGCACAGTGGTAGAGGGTCATGGGAGGATGCCAATGAAGCAATATTACATCAATTGGCCAAAGGGGGGCGTTATAGCAACCCATTGAAATGTCAAACTTTGAATGGGCATATCTCATGCCCCGTATGTCGTAGAGACATGAAACTTTGCACAGAGATGCCTCTCCTCATGAGGAACACATTTGCCTCAAGAACCCATAACTTCCGCTTATATAGATTTTCCGCCATTTTGAATTTTTTGAAAAACACTTCAAATGGATCTCTTCCTAGGAAGTTTGAGCGATCTGCATGAAACTGGGTGAACATAATCTAGGGACCAATATCTAAAGTTCCCTCTTGGCAAAAGTTGGAAAACTTACTAAAACTGAGCTTCTATAAGGCAATGAATATTGCGGAGGGCGTGGCTCATCACATAAAGGTGTATAACATCTCAAGGGTTTCACCCATCACCACGCAACTTTGTAGGCATATGATCACACATAATCTGAGGGGACCCCTCCATTATTGACCCCATCAAACAAAATGGGGGCGCTAGAGAGCTCATTTCTTATCTAGGCCTAACCGCCATATGGATTTTTACTAAACTTGGTAGATATGTAGAACAGGACGCCTCAAGGTGACTGGAGAAATTTAACACTAATTGGCAACTGGGTGGCTCTATAACAACAGAAAAATGCTTCAAAATGGCTAAAATGCGACCGATCACTGTGGCTGCCCCTGTGGACCAATGTTTCTACCTCAACTACTAATGTACAGTTTTAGCCCACTAACTATCCCACTATTGGCAATGGTACTACTGTACTTTCAATAAAGCAATCGTACTATCAAATTCACCAAAGCTCTGTCTGAATACATTGCTCTTCTTAATGGGTTCAGTTGACTATTTAATCTGCAATTTCCTATGACCTGTATCCCAAACACACACCATGTGAAACTGTGTGTGGGCAACTGTGCACTCAATGGGTATGGACTAGTGTTTTATTAACTGTTGATTGCTTTTTATCTTTTTATTTGTGATCATTGTAAATGAGGGCCAGCCCTCAATGATTTTCTCAAGTTTAAATTAAGGTAATAATAACGATTGAGTCTGGCTTTGAAGAGAGTATAGATAACTTTCACTTTTGGTTCAGTTTTCCGTCAGAAAGATCTGTCTGTTCGGAAAGTACTGAGCATATGACTTGATGAATGAGACTTGGATTATACTGCAAAAGTATAGTAGAGTTTGTTAACTTATGTTTTGTATAGTTTTGCTGAATGCAGCTGCCCTTTATTTCAATTCATCAAGAATTTTGGCCTTGGTAGCGACTGATATATAGAGGTGATTTTGAAACCCCTGCCTCAAGTTACTGAAAAACGTTGCATTAAAAAATAAATTACATCATATTTGTTATGATGCTATTTACTTTTATCAAAAAAAATCTCTAACTGGAGAAACAGCTACTTCTGACCTCTGTAAAACACAACAGCCAAAGGAATAAAGTAGTCTCACAATTCAATTTGAGCAAACACTCAACTTCTGCATTTAGTACATAAATATAGTTTAGGTCTACTGGGACTTTATAGGCTACAGCTATTGAACAAAAGAATACAAATGTACAAACAGTCTGTGAAAAGGTCCTGAGGACATGAAACCTGTCATCTGCATCATTTTAGCACAAACAGGAGTCAGTGAGAGAGCCGAGGAAAATCTACATCGACTACAGCTCTACATGATTGGAAACATGTCTCTGTGCTAGATGAAGGTCCAGAGGTTGTCTTTTCTTCTGGTTCTTGTGAGCTACAGTGATTGTTCTGGTTCGTGGGCTGAATGCAGAGTAATAACAGGAGGAAGAGTCTCTCACCTGTAAGTAAAGTGCAAAATAGCTTGGATGGCACTTCCACCTCCTGAACTGATGTCTCCCTCAAATCCAGGGAGCAAAGGGACCACCACAAAAACTCTGTACTTCTTCTGCTCTCTGCAGTGAGACAAAAAAAATGTCAACATGTGCATTGTCTACAAGTGCACTGTTTAAACATCAATACAAGTAGACTATTCCTTTCAGTCATATTTCTGTTGTGTTATGATTTGCAAAGTAAATGCCGAAATGTTCTCTTCTATGTGCTTTGTTTTACATGTTTAAATCCGATTTGAGCTCCATGAAAAACTGCTTTGTAACTTCAAGGTTCAAAGATGAATGAAGTGCCTCATAAATCTGGTTACTATACTCAAACCAGACCTGTGTGCACGCAGGATTCGATTCACAAGTGCATCACCGATCTTGTTATGGATGATCTTTCCGTCGGTACAGCTGATGAAGAACTGGTTCTGAGGGCAGAAAGAAGGCAGATGGTGGCTCGGTATGAGGTGAGGGCTAAAACAGGTAGGTAGCTGGCAAAGAAGGGACTGCTATGTGATTATATTCAGACTCATGAGACCTCATGATTAGACACACATTGGCTACAGTATCTCTCAGTGACATGTGAAATTAAGGAGTCAAATGGTGTAAGTAAGAATCACGTGCTAAAAACAGCATCAGTAAAGGGAGGCCAATCTATATTTATAAACAGATGTATTTTTAGACAGGATACTAGAACACATTTTAAGTGTTTCCTCTATAGGGATGATCTTTTTGCCATGTCTGCTATGATTTTGGCAGGATCTGTCTGTCCATGCTATCAGGTATATATTTGTCCTTAACTGACTGAAGAATTCCTGCATTACCTCGATGTAGATGTAGTGCTCGCTGTTCTCGATGGTGTGGACGTAGGCGTTGAGAATCGAATTCTCACAGGTTCCAGTGGACCAGCGGTCGGCAGAGCGCAACACCTGAAAGAAAGACACATCAATCCATGAGACATGTCCTACACTAGCTGTTTATTCTTTGCCTTACACATCATAAGAAGTTGGTGTCACCAAATTAGCTTAAACGTCCAAGTGTAGCACAGAAATTACAGAGAAGAACAAGGAACCTAAAGGGATAGTTTGGATCCTTTGAAGCAGGGTTACATGAGGTACTTGTCTATAGTCAGTGTGGATGTCAGTAAGCACACCCCCAGTTTGAAGAAGCAGGAGGTAGTGCCGCCATGAAAGCTCAGTGACATACTGCTGTGGATGGGGGCGGCAGCAAAATGTATTTTAGCCACCTAAAAAAAATCAATACGAGTTTCAATGTATGATAGATTTGGAATATTTTCAGACAGTGAGTTCACTGGAAACTCAAGCCGCTCTGTGAAGCCAGACTCCATTGAGAAAAACTGTGATTTAGCATTGCAGCTGCTGCTCTAACGCTGCCTTGATCAGTAGTTTGTTTGTGCTATAGTGTGACTTTGGCATTTAAACTGGTTAGTTCAGATTCACCAAAGTTACACAGTGACACAACAAACTAAGTGATGAGGCAGCAGTAGACCAGCAGCTCCCAGGTTCAGTAAGATTAAATTACTGTTTTTTGTCAATGGAGTTTGGTGGCTTTGATGTGAGCATAGATGGAGAACTGAAACCACAGGAACGGGCTGTCTGATGGAAAGGTAAAGCGGTTAAAATGCTCTCAGTATAGCGTACACTTATGTTGACCTTTTAAGGGTAGCTAAAATATGTTTTGTTGCAGCCCCTGTCCACAGCAACACATTGCCGAGCTTTTGTGTCAACACTGCTGCTGTTTGTGTGTAATACACTGTCTATGGATAAGTACCCTTTAGATCCCCACTTCAAAAAATCTGGGGCCATATTCACAAAGCTTCCTAGTGCTAAGAGTTGCTCCTAGTAACAAAACTTTAAGAAAATTCTTAGAGTTGTTACGTTTTCTTAGAATTTCCCCTTAAAGTTAAGACTAGGTCCTTGTGTAGATAAAAGTTATTCACAAAGCATCTTAGACCTTAAAAGAGCTCCTATGGTGAAAAACTGTTAGGTGCAGGTAGGAGGACTTTTAAAGGGATAGTGCACCCAAAAATGAAAATTCAGCCATTATCTACTCACCCATATGCCGAGGGAGGCTCAGGTGAAGTTTTAGAGTCCTCACATCACTTGCAGAGATCCAAGGGGAGAGGAGGTAGCAACACAACTCCACCTAATGGAGGCTGACGGCGCCCCAGATTCAAACGTCCAAAAACACATAACTGAAACCACAAAATATCTCCATACTGCTCGTCCGTAGTGATCCAAGTGTCCTGAAGCCCCGACATAAAAAGTTGTTTGGAAAAACGTCATTTGAACTCTGTTTTTAGCCTCATTGCAGCCTGTAGCTCTGACTGCCTCTCTGTGCACCGCGCTCACGTGTGTGTGCTTGCGCAAGACCGTGAGACATGGGCACCGCCTTCATGTGTGTTACACGTGCTTTTGCTGGTCTCGCGCAAGTGCATACGTGAACTACGGACGAGCAGTATGGAGATATTTTGTTGTTTCAATTATGTGTTTTTGGACGTTTGAATCTGGGGCGCCGTCAGCCTCCATTAGGTGGAGTTGTGTTGCTACCTCCTCTCCCCTTGGATCTCTGCAAGTGATGTGAGGACTCTAAAACTTCACCTGAGCCTCCCTCGGCATATGGGTGAGTAGATAATGGCTGAATTTTCATTTTTGGGTGAACATTGGATGACAGTGAATAAATGAAATGCCACCTATTAGATCATGCAGGGATAATATTTGTGGTCGATCTCATTATCAATAATGATAATAATAATAATAATAATAATAATAATACACTGGATTTAATAGTGCTTTTCAGGATTCTCAAAGATGCTCAGAAATAAAATTATCACAATACTAAGATATTTAGAAAACTGGAAAAATGCAACAGTGCAGCTGTGATGACTTGGGTCCGTCCATCGGCAAACTGATCATACAAATAATGACATCACTTTCAAAGTCAGCAGTTCATTTCATTTCCACTGGGTGTCCACACCTTGCAGGCACACAAAAGGACGTGTCTCTTGCTGCGTTCGTTTTGTACTCGGAGGTCGGAAATTCCCAGCTCCCAGTTGGAAGTTTAAACTCCAACACACCCTGAGATCGGATTTCCAACTCGGAAACTCGGAGCAACCTCATCAACCCTGACTTATGAATTCAAGATGGCTGCTGGTCACATACATAGTGAGTAAACACTCTGCTAAAGTACTGTTTATAGCAGTTTTATCTTATTTGTTTTACATTAGGTCAGCCTCATCTGCGGAGTGTTGGAGTGCATGATGGTTTTGAAGCTGTCTATACTCCAAAAGTGCAACGGCAACAAAGGCTTTCTTGCTGGCGTCATTCCCACTTCCGACTTCCGACCTCTGAGTACAAAATGAACACAGCATCTGACAACCAGTCACATCTGTTAAAAGACTAGCAACAGAGTCAACCACACCTCCTCACTAAGGTAAAAGTTTTGTCTCTTCCTTGCTCAGAGTTGCTCTGAAAACTTTCCTAATTCACTCCTAAGCTTGGACTCCTTAATAAAAATTTTTAGACTAAGTCTGAGCGTATTCTCAGAATGTTTGCGAATACATCCCCTGAACTAACCCTTTACGTATTACTTTTTTAAAATAAATAAAAATACACTTTGTTTTGTTTAAAACTACTTTTTAAAGCTTCAGCTGTATTACATACGGACACATTTAACTGCTGCCATCAGGTTTGTAGTCATTTAAGTTTGTGATGCTCTCAGCTTGTTCCTTGCATAAACTTTTCTTTAACTTATGGGGATGCTCTCTGCTCTACCGCTCTAACACTGAATGTGACAATTGAGTAACTGTCCCTGAAACCTGAACACAGGATCAGCAAAACCTGACAGGAAAGCCACAGCATAATAGGGAGCAAGGGTTAGGGTTACAGGCCACCGCCCACAATAGAAAAAGAAAATACCCACAGCATAAGCTATTGTTACCCAAACCTCGCTGTCTGAGCATTTGTGGATTGAGAATATGCATCTTTACAAAGTTTCTTCATGGTGTTTATTTGTAGTCTTCAAGAAAGAGGATAATGGCCTCCGTGTCTGTCACGCTCTGTTGTGTTGCTCATGCTGGCTGGTCTCATAATCCGGACCACATTTCCCATGAAGCCTATTGCAAATAAGATGCTTCCACTTCAACTTGTCCCCCGTCCCCATCTTTGGCAGTGCATTTGTTTTCTCTGGCTTTGCTGAACAGGATAAACATGTTGGAAGTGATTTTCCTCCACAGGCTTTACTCTTGTTCCACCATCTGCCATCGCGTAAAAAAAACCACTCTGAATACTTGAGCTGCTTTTCAAAAGCCAGAACACTGTCTCTTTGTTGTACTGTACAGAAATCCATTTGATTTCCTGCTAACTCTGACTTTGTGTTGCACAATGTAAAATGCAGAGTAAAAGCCAGTAAGGGCCTTCAATCATCTCAGCAATGATCTTATTTGTTTACTAGAATTATATTTTACTAATTTCCCAAAATAATATGGAGATGACCAGCAGCATGGTTTCTTTTATAAATGCAACATATGCGAGTTTACTGTGCTCTCTTGTTTTTAACATCTGTCCCGTTCTTCAAATGAGAGTTCAAGGCTTCCAACCCTGATGTCGTCCTGAGGGCATCTTTAAAGCTTGTGTGACGCAGAAATCTCTTTTTCCTATGTACATAAAGTCATACCTTAAACACTAGGGGAGTTTTCTGTGTTGTCCTCTTGTGTGTAAAGAACGCAGGGTTGATTTTCTGTACAGGACTCTCAGGACACAACACTGTGCAGGTTCCTGGCTGGCTCTAGTGCAAAGCTGTTCTCCTCAGTGAGCTTGTTTTACAACTGTCCTCTGTTCTCAGACAGAACCACCATCCACAGTGAATAAAAGGAAAGTCTGATTTATCGGAACACTTACATCACATGGGGACAGTCTTTATACTAGAGACTCAATGTATGTGTAAAGGCTGAAAAGCGCTACATTACCCTAACTCAAAGGGAGAGCGCAGACCTCTGCCAAGGCCAGATGCTCTATCTTGGAATGTTAATTCGTGTATCCATCCCGTGTTTCAGATTAGCTCCAAAACTGAATGGGTTCTTCCTTGGCCCATGTTACACCCTTCCACCGGGTTTCGTGAAATTTGGGCCGGTCATTTTTCCATAATCCTGCTGACAAACAAACCAACCAACCAAAAACATAACCTCCTAGGCGGAGGTTATAACTGCACCTGCCAGTGTTGTGAATTTCATGAACGAGGAGGAATAAAAAAACGCTGTGACAAGACAAGCACTATAGATTTTCCTCAGGTCACTGTCACCAACTCCCTTTTGTGCTAAATGATGCGTCTCACAGGTTTCGTGACCTTTTTTATAGTCTGTTAAGACGTTTTTTTCTGCTTGTTGCTAACATAACAATCCAAAGACACACTGCACATATTTCATAATTTATCAAGATTTTAAATTGCATCATAGTGTGTAAACTGTCCATCATTAACTGTGACATACACATGCAATTTTCTGTTTTCCTGGTGAAAAAAATCTGTGCACAGGTGTTACAGAGATAGTGCCTTGGTCTTTGGTGAATGTGTGTGTATAAATACCTGCACTTTGGCCTTCTTCGACCCAGGCATGGTGAATGGTAGTGAGTCAGCTGTGCATTGAGACTTGGGAAGAAGGTAAGGGTAGAATTCGTCCTTGTACTTGTTTTTGAAGATCTAGAGAAGACAGAACAAATGAATGAAATTCCTGTTGGTTATGTTTCCGACAGAAGCCAAGTTTAAAAGTTAGATCAAGTTTATTTGACTACTTATGACTGGAGTCATATTGTTGTAGTTGTAGCAGAGCATATAGTTCAGAAATTTGAATAGGGAAATAGCAGCACAAGTCTTTAGCTCTATGCTGAGGCTTTAAATAAATATTGACTTTTTATTTTTACTTTGTTTACACGTCCAAATAACTGCTTTCGTAATAACTCCTTTAAAAAGGTTTAAAGCCCTCTGATGCTTGCGTATGTGTAGACTCATTTGTAAAGCTGGTTCAAACAGAGAGATCATGCTGCAGTCTCAAAACTATGACAATTAAGCCCAGGCAGCTTTAAAGGTAGCCTATACTTTGCTGTGCCTCTTGGATGCCAGCTGCTTACGGTTTGGCACCTCACCTGCTTTTTTTTTTTTATGAAGTCCAGACCTCACCTGAGCGCTGTGGGGGTACACGCCCATAAACGTCTCCAAGGAAGAAAATAAGAGGACGATAATGGCAGAGTCATTGTTTTTTAGCAAAATCCTGCATGGTATATCTTTAGAAAAACAATATATAGAACTAGAGCAATCGGAGAGCGCAGACCTCCACCAAGCAGCTCGGATTTCCTGCCATTTTATTATTTTATCCACTTCGCTTCAACCGATCACCACAAAAATTTTATCATCTGTTCCTTGTCCCATTATCAGCATTTCCTGAAAAGTTCATCAAACTCTGTTCAGAACTTTTCGAGTTATTTTGCAGACAAACAGACCAACGCCGACGAAAACATAACGTCCTTGGTGGAGGTAATCATACAAAAGTAATCCCTCTCATTTATCACTTATGACCCACTACAAAGGTGTGGCACAGACTCTGCCCTCTGCCTGTATTTAGGGTCCGGGCAGCTAAGCTGCCAGGACACTATTGTTATCTTAGGTATTCTTCTTCTTTCTTCTTCCGAGGAAATCATACTTCCCATGGGTGTAAACTCACCAAACTTTGCACAAAGGTCCAGTCTCATGCCAGATATCCTCAGCTGTAAACTCAAGTCAATAGTCCTGATGGTGGCGCTACAGCAAGCGTCTAAAGTTCAAAACTTTGAAAATTCATAACAAATCAACCATACGTGCTACAACTTCACAACTTTCATCAAACTGTAGCCTCAATACTGAAGAAACTTTTGTACATTTAAACCTATTAAAAATTATGAAGTTCATCATTCTGTTTTCTTCAAAAACTGTAAAACATCTTAAACCTATCTCCTCCCACAATATTTGCTCAGTTGACACCAAACTTGCTACAGAGCATCTTCAGACTGTCCTACAAAAACTACGTTTCTCAGATTTTTGATTTATCAAAAATTGAGCCTACAGTGCATCAAAATGTTTGACTGTAAACGGTACTGTAAACATATACATGCAAATTCTTGCTAAATAAATCTTCAATGTTCATGAAAAAAATGACAAAATTCTAGAGTCATGGTAGATGATGTGTGGCAAATTTCAGAATTCTATCTCAAAAACTGGATTTTTGACAGCATTTTGAATTTTGCTCTAATGTGAACAATTGGAGTCAATGTAAAAATGGTAATTTTAAACATCAGTTTTTCACTTATGGAGCAAATCAATCATTGTTACAAACAAATTACCAACATCTCCATGCTGTCTAGATGCAATATGTGTATTTTCAGATTTTTGTTTCGATAACTCAATTTTTTTTACAGTGGTTTCAAATCTGCCTTTCCATGCACGGACGGCTGCTTTCCTACACAGCAGTGAATGGCTTACTCAATTATTGAAGCCACTGTTGAGTTGCTACTTGCCAATTAGCTCAGAGTGGTAGATGACCATCTTAGGTTTTAGAGGTTGCGAGTTCGAGCCTCAACTGGTGCAGAATCCACATTGTAATGTAATCATCTTCTTGTGCTCCAGCTTATTTATTGCTTAAAATTGCCTGAGCGTGACTCATCGATGTTCAGCATCTACAAGTCTTCTTCCTGCTAGAAAATCTGCCTTCTGATGCTTGAAAATAAACCAAACTTTGCACAAAAATCCAGTGTCAATACTTCAGTGTGAAACCATCTGAGGCACATAGCTCAACTAGTTAAACACCAGTTTTTCCACTTATGGAGCAAATCACTCATTGTTAAAACAAATTACCAACATCTCCATGCTGTCTAGATGCAATATGTGTATTTTCAGATTTTTGTCTTAATAACTGAATTTTTTACAGTGGTTTGAAATCTGCTTTTCCATGCATGGACGGCTGCTAAACCTGCATGTCTGGCTTAGTCAGTTTGTGAAGCTACACATGAACTGTCACTGACTAATTAGCTCAGTGAGATAGAAATTGATTCTTAGTCTCAGAGGTTGTGAGTTCAAGCCTCAGCTGATGCAAAAGGCAGATTGTGTTGCTAAATTCCTAAATGTCTTCCAATTCTTCTGCTTGTTGCTCAGAATTGCCTAAAAATGCCCGGACCCCACCCATCTTATTTTGCTGTGCTCGGGATGTTCCTGGGCACAGTGCACAAGTGAGGCCCAGACTTTATAAAAAGGTAGCACCTACTCGCCAGATGGTAAGCAGCATGCATCCAAGAGGAAACTATGAGAACGCCAAGCAGACAAAGTTTATTCCAAAACAAGAGTGCATCTGGGGTTGGCTTTCACTTTCGCTAGCGATACTGTCGACAAATAGTTACCCACATTGCCTGCATAGTATATTTTTAAAATGACAGAGTGTTCCTTTGAGACTGACCTTGGTGAAGTTCCAACGCTGGATGAAGTGGCGGGCTACATCTCTGGCAGCTTTGCCATGAACAGCTGCAGACAGATCACGCCACGGCATGCGGGGAACTCGAGTGCGGTCGATGTTATCTGAAAATATATAAAAGGCAATCCTTTCAGCTCCCTGTTGTCAGAGCCTCTCAGCGTGTTTGCATGTGTGTGTGATACTTAAGGAGATTTAGATAGTGTACCTTCAAAGGGTTTGTCCAGTTGGTTCCAGTCTTTCTGGATAAAGTTGCTGTAGTCTTTGCCAAGCCACAGTTTACTGTTGCAAGTCAGATCATCAGGGTTCTGCTCGGCCTGTTTGTTTGGTTCAGATGGTTTTTGACCATCAGCCACACCATTATCCTGGTTAAAAGAGATATTTGTTTAAGTCTGCAGGGAAGGTGACATACTGAAAGAAGATGAAATACTGGAAACATCTTCATGCTTTATCAGTGGCAACAAGCTAAAAAGACAGTTTCTTACTCCTGTATCTCCGTTGGGCTCCTCTGCAGTTACACTGCTGTCCGTCTCTGTCAAACCCAGATCAGTTAGCCGGTACTGGCTGTCATCCCACCTCCCAAATGCCAGGTCAAGCCCCCCAACAAAGGCTACCGTTTGGTCAATGGCTACCATCTTTTCATGGTGAGCCCACAGGAACACCACGGATGACACATGATCAGGATGTCGCATTACCTGATGGACAGAAGGGGGTTTAAATAAAACAGGAGGTGAGGCAATTGCATATAACAAATAACATGTAGACGTGACAAACCTTGATGTTTGGGTGCATATTCATGAGAGTCTTCTTGCTGTGCTCACTATTGATACCAAGTGCGAGCTCCACCTCTTTGTACAGCAGGACACACACTTTAACTCCTTGTTCCTGCAGGAAAAAGTTCAAAGAGAGGCAACACCATGAGGAATAATGATCTGCTCAGGTAAAGTGAAATTTTAAAATAATCTAAATTGCATAAAAGAGAAGAACAGGATGATGAGAATCCCTACTGCTTTGCGTTTGAGGATCTCATCCAGGCGCCAGTAGTTATCAGTGGCTGGTCTCTTTAGGAACACTTCAGGGCTGAGCCTGACAGAAAAGACACATGATGTTCTCCATGTATTTTTACAAATGTTGATAAAACGTTTCAATGGTGCAAGTTCTCCTCTCTCTTCATCAGCAAATCCTGATCTTGCAGACACTTACCACCAATCTGTGATGAAGATTTCCTCTTTTGCTTGTTCGAGAGCATCAGCCAGGTCTGCGAAGTAGTCTCTTCCATTCACATACCTGCAGACAGTATCCATCAACCAGAAACTTTTAGCAATTGAGGATTAAATGTAAAGACAGATGGTTGTAAATCTCAATTAGAATATGAATCTGACCATTTAGTGAGTGTGTTCTCCCGTGGCGGAGCAAACCCATCGAAGCGTTGCACTGTGAGATAGTCACAGGTGTCTGCCAGCCGGTTAATTTCATGACTCCACCAATGAGCCTGTCTATAGCTGCTGCATTTGATGATCAGACTCCTGGACAAAAGCAAACAGGCCATGTATGCGTCACAAACACGACATAACCCCAGGCATAAATATATGCAATATGCTGGAGTTCACAGTGTGGAGGCGAACACACAGCTGACCTACCGAGTGAAGTTCTCAATGCAGACTCCATATCTGGTGTCTGTGTGCGCGCGGCCCACTTTCACTTTGAACTCTGGGTCAAAGAGCAGCACAAAATTGATGCTGCCGTTGTCTCGATTCATGTACATGAGGAAGGAGTCTTTCACCACCAGCCAGCGCCGCGACCAGCGAAAGCAGAACTGATGATGACCGATGCAGTTCAGGCCTTGGATCCGGTGACCCCCTGACCTCTTGAAGATGGGTCCCTCCCTAGACAAGTCAATACATGTTGCACAATTATTCTCTCTCATACAATCAGTCAGTTCCCTACTTCTTCTTTTGTCTCATTCACTCTCAAGAAGAAGTTAACTTACAAGCCTTTGGGTCCGAGATCAGTGACGAAGGAGAGAGCGCCGACAGAGAGGAAATCCAGCTGAAAAAAAGTAGAGGAGAAAATGGCATCATGCTGCATGACATTCGCTTTGTATGTGTGTGTGTGCGCTTGTCATTGAAAAAGCTATTACCATGCTGTGATCATTCCTACAGAATGAGTTCTCCAGCAGACCATTCAAGTACTCCTCGAGGTATTTCTGCAATAGAAAGGCAAAGCAGGTAAATAAAAGTAATATACAACTACAGTTATCTACAGTTATCTATCTATCTATCTATCTATCTATCTATCTATACACAATTTATCTCAACACACAACTGTCAATAAAACTGCCTGAAACTGTATAAATGAGCTGATTTGTTACAATATATTAATAATATAATAAAAAAGGATTCTCTTTAAACAAAAAGGTGGCAGTTCAAGACATACATAATACATTAAATCTTTTCTTTTAAAAGAATATCTTATGGGCTCAGCAGAGACCAACACAGCAGTAGCAGTATGAGGTCAATAGAGAACATCAGTCTTCTTCTTTGACTAAAATACATTGTAAAATCTTGTCCCAACAACTACTGCACATGTGTGTGTATCTAATGGGACTGTATGCACTGCATACACTATACATGTATCTGATTGGCTTGTTTGATACCATTTTGCTGGAGGTCCTCCTGGTACGTTCAGTCCCATGTAGGCTGGGCATTTCCTCCGACATTGCTCTCAGTTGCTGCCTGTCCTTTGCAAATCTTTGAGAGAAATTTGAATATTCAAAATAGTCAGTGCTCCGGAAATCTGATGATAAAAACAACACATCACGTGGATTTCAACTGCAAGTCCCTCAGAGTGAGAGGTCGATTTGCGTGATAACAACAAATAGATTGGTGCACCGACCTTCCAATAGGCAGCAAGTGAAGCATCATCTTGTGCTTGTAAAGGTCTCGGTGCAGCTCCTGGAAGTGCTTGTACTTCCTCTTCACTGACCAGTGGAAGGGGCCGTGGGTTAGCTGCACTGTGTACAGGGTGCCTACACGGACCTGGAGGGACATTATTGAAACAATGTACACAAGCATGACGGTTCATTCTTACAGTTTCTTTGTGAAAAATGCAAAGTGTGGTTCTTCTCTGGGCCCATACTGAATAATATACCATTACACATGTTCTTGTGCATTGTAATGTAAACACCTATGCATAAATGTAGCATGAAAGTTCAAGAAAGAAAGACGTGTCATAGTTATAAAGTCAGCTCCTTAAAACTCATACTTTCCCCCTACCATCAGGGGCCCCAGCGATAAAACCAGGCATCCCAGAAACACCCACTTCCTTGAACACGCTCAACACGACACACCTGTTCTACCCTTACATTGTATCTACACTTAAAATTACACTCAACAAGCATGTCATTTCAGCAGCCTCCTGGTTCAAAATATCCCACTCAAGGTTCAAACACACGGACAGAAGTTCAGTAACCTCACAATAAAGGCACATCTGACTGTTAAGATAAACAGCCAGCTCATGAGATAAGCAATAAAGTTGAATCGGCAGTTTTACTACGTTCGCAGATTAAAATGACATAATGTCATTATGGTGAGTCAAGTTTAACTGCAGGGTGTTTTCAGCCAGGCTTGAACAACGAAATCAGATATTCAAAGTGATCATGAGGCGTCATAAGTTGGTCTCAAAGATATCAAATAGTACAAAGTGTTCTGACATGGTTAAAAAGAGTGACTAATAATGTTAAATGTGTCTGCTTTCACTTCAAGCTTATCTAAAGCGTTCTATAAATACCAGCGTCCCTGCCACGACAGTCACAAGAAAACATGATTATTTTCCACATAGAAAAAAAAATCTCAACAGGCGTACCTTTGAGCGAGTAGTGTATTTCTCTGTGTTGTCCACTCTACATGTAATAGGGACACCAGGCATTAAATAAGGTATACCCTCCTCCTTGACTTCAGGCAGATGATGCACCACGAGGAAAGGACGTCCGTCTACGATTTGGAAGATTAGAACATTTTAATAAAAGTCTTCCGATACAGCCATTACAGTTTCAGTGCTTACATATATTGATAAAAGGGACGGTTTTCCTTACCACTGCTGGACATGAGGCCATCTATCTCGTCTGGACTCAGGCCTTGAAGGTCGTGCGAAAAGCGCCTTCTGGCGAGGCTATGGGCTGTTGCTCTTTGAGCCGCTGGCTCGAACACACTTCGACCGGCCATTGCACTGTTGTCGCAAGTGCCAACTGCCCTGGTGCAAAGACAAAAGAAGAGGGAGTTTAATATTTACAGTCAAGAGTCTGTACACCTTCTCACCACTGAGCATACATAGCTTACACTACATTGGCACGCATGAGAAAACTAACTACTGATCAAACAAATGTGAAACTGAGACCAATCTCATTATACAGGCCAGTGCACATTGATATTTCAGTCACAAGCTTGAAGTTCACAGTATTTCATCACCTGTAACACACTGTAACTCCAAAAATTGCTCCACAAACGTTTATGGTTTTAGGTGTATTAACTGAATAAAGTTTATTTTTGTATCATTCATTTAAAGGACTCAGCCTACATTGTCTCTTTAAATGGTTCAAAATGTCTAAATAAAGACCCTATTTACAATAACTTAACACTGCCTATGTATGTCGACAGTACTTTCATGTATGCTAGTGTAGCTCTATCTCGGCCGGCAACTTTCATGTACGTATTTGTGAACCAAATGCCCGTAGTAGTCATTTGATTGAGGAAAAGTATTGGTGCTTTTTGTGGTATCACTTCCTCTACTACTGCTGCTGCTGCCACTAATAGTAGATGCAGTCTGTAGCAGTGGTGTATGAACTAATTATCAGATCAATAGATGACGTATCCTCAGCAGTAGTTGCATTAGTTGTGGTAGCACTAGTAGTAGCTGCGGTATCAGTTGCATTAGCTGTACTGAGCAGCAGTAGCAACAACAACACTACTAAAGGTGGTAGTAGCAGTACTCTGATTAAACCAGCAGTCAAAACTAACAACATAAAGTATATAAAGAAGTTGACGAGTTAGTAAAATAACCCGATAGCAGGTTGCTTAGGTGAAACTAATCCTTGAGGACAGTGATGTGATCGCACAAGAAGAGCCATTTAAGGACAACTAAGTATCACACCACTCAACAACACACCAGGTAATGTTGGAAGCACTGCTGTTAAAATGCCAAAAACAGCTTTCATACACGGCAGGCATCTCGTGGTGTTTACCTGTTGGTCAGGTCACCGACATTCGAGAAGTCGAGGACACAGCTGTGGAAGGAAAGGGTGCGTCTGAACTCTTTTGTATGGTGTGTGGGTAGATGTCTCTGAATGGCTTAATGTTTCCTGGGTAACGAGGAGAAGAGGAGGGAGGGTGTGTGTGTGTGTGTGTGTGTGTGTGGTTGTGTCTGTGTCTGAAGAAGAGAAAGGGTTTGGGAATGATGATGTGGATAAAACCTGTTATCGGACTCCAAAATTGACTGAACACAGAGCGTATTTCAATGTTATGTTTCAGTAGTTTTGATTCCATAAAAAAGGTTGCAACTATTGCTGAATAAGACACATTACAGCACTGTCTTTTTGATTTACTCCAGCATTATCTTTGAAGTTGCTTCGTTATGCTTCTACTAACTCCTATCATTTAAACTTCCTAATATTAGTGGTCCAGTTTGGGGTCAAGATACGTGACACTTCACAGCACTTCATGAAATAATAGCCCGCTATTATAGAAACATTTTCTCTACAGTACTTGCCAGGTGTGTCACACAGACGATACAGTAGATCTTGTAACAAACAAGTCATCCAACCAATGTACACAGTGGCTTAAACCTATTGTCATTCTCTGTACATTTGCACATGGTAAATTATGGTGCATTCAAGAACATATGTTATGGGATAAAAGCCTTTCCAGAGTGTTTCGTGTCTGCCCTCTGGATGCAGGAGAAATGACACAAGAGCGTAAGTAGTAATTAGCAGGTAAAGGCAGGGGCAATACTGAGCACTAGATGGGAACGTCATCTGGACTGTACTAGCCAAAGGCTATTGGCAGCATCTTAGACTCAAGGAGTGGCAATAGAACGAAAGGACATGTGACGCAATAACAGTCATTCAGATTATTGTCTCGTATTCTTTTCATTATTTCTACTTTAAAAGGGGCGCCTTCTGGAGAGACAGAAGCTGGGAATATGCCCAGCAAGTCATTAACAGGAAATCTCACTTATGTTTTGTAAATCAGGTTATATGACATGGTTGATTAATAAACACACTGCTCATATTTCAGGTTTGAATGATTTACCTGTACACCCACAGGTTTGTTTTGAGTTACTGCTGTATAAAACAAATACTGATGCTTAATAAGAATTTCGTATTGTTACCTCAGTTACTGATATCTCAGTTATTTCTTTCAAGACACATATTATGTCTTAGTTAAATGCTTTTGTTGTATTCAGTTTATCCTACATATTAGTAATTATAGGCCATTACAACTGCTTAACAACAATCCTTTGAGTTCCCATTGTCTGCTGAATAACTTATTTCCCATTAAGATCGAGCTGCATACGATGTTGCCCAAATTAAGGCCATTCCTTCTTTGTCATTTTTGAAGAGCTATTTCTGCACTTTTCTCATGCTTGTTGTTATAATCCTAGATCTTTTCAGGTCATTCATTTTAATTCACTTCCAGCTCTTTGTTGAGACTGATCTGTCAATACTTTGCCAATCAGTGTCTTTGGTTTGTTGGGTGCTATGAAGACAGGAAGTGGCCTTGTTGTCTCCGCTCAGAAAAGCTAGCTCATCTTTGCCATTAAGCTCACTAATGTGCGGTAAACTGAAAAAAAAAAAGATGAAAATATATTATGTTTACCCTTTTCAGCAGAGAAGTCTAGTATCGCCTTGACGAGATTTTCTTGTTTTTTTGTTTGTTGGAGTGAAACTTTGTCCACACTATTTACACAGGCTTCCTACCTGTGAAAGACAACACTACGCCCACCCGGGGTCCTCTAGTACATGAGCCAAATTGGCCAGAAGGGAACACTTTTACTGAGAGCCAAGCCACATCTTACACACCAAATGGTCATATGAGCATAAATCTGTGTGTGTGTGTGTGTGCATCAGTGTTTTTGTTCTACACACCTTTTGAATTTTGAACAGGTTTTAAACTCTCAAAAAAGGCACAACACTGGATCCGTTAGCACTTAATACTGCCAGCAGGACTGAGGCCACAAGAGATTTGAGGCCCCTATGTGTAGAATTGGACTTTGAATTAGTGTTGTCAAAGATACTGATTCATAAACATATCGACACTGAATATTTGAAAAAGTTTCAATACTCATTTATTGGCAGTATTGACACAGCAATATCAGCTGCACTTTCTCACTCTCTCAATGTTAATATTTACTTCAGTCATGCTACTGCTCTCTGCTACTAACCAACCAATATCTTTTAATGAAAAAAATTTAATTGCATGCTCTTAAAGTCAATTTTTCACACAGGTATCTAAAATGGAATCAAATATCAACACTCTTCAAGGTGTTGTATCACATTTAGAGGTTCCAGTATGATAACAGTACTTGAAACATTTTCTACAAACAAAAATGTTCACCATCAGAGTACTTATAATATTGCCATATTCACATTAAAATACTAAGCGGCAACCTCCATAGCTGAAAAGTAAAGCCAATGCATAAGTGCCAAAAACTGCAGTTCCTCTAATGGCCACTTGGGGCTGGCTCCAAAAGTGAGTCAATCCTCATTGAAACTAGCTTTACAGCATAAATCAACATGTTTACAGCCTGGTACAAAAACGGTTTTGGTCTCTAAAGCTTCCCCCTTCAGGAAAACCGTGCAGGAGTTGAATTGTAACTCACCCATTCACATTTTGTTAAGGCTTAAAGCGATGCACAGTTAAGGGCGGGCCGCTTTGACCAGTCAGATCCACCCCTCACTCCTCCAAAGCTCCGATCTCTCATTCAACTAAGATCACTTTTTGCTCCACAAAAACAAGATAGTGATGGCCGAAGTGCCAAATTCAAGGCTTCAGAACGGGAATCCACAAACCCTTAAGTGATGTCATGGTAGCTACTAGGGATGGGAATCGAGAACCGGTTCCTGTTAAGAACCAGTTCCAACTGGTTCAATTCATCGACATCATTAGCCTTTATGCTTAACGATTCCCTTATCGATTCTTTTCATTATGCCGAATCTATGCTTGTCAGTTAGCAGCACGTTCAACAACGAAGAAGACGTAATGGCGGAGAGACAGAAGCGGTCAAAGCCGTAGCTTCACTTCATGCTGTTAATAGCCTCCCTGAAGGTGCTAGCACACCGTGGAGCCTCGCACATCCCCGCTCCAGGTACATGGCGGCAGGACACTGTTGTTGTTAGCCTCACTGGAGCTGCTAGCCCGCTGTGGAGCCTCGGCACGTCCCCACTCCTGTTGTCGGATTTCATGGGAACACCAAGGATGGTAAGATGAGGCCAGTTGAGTTGCTTTTTTTCAAATCTTTCTCATCGTCTTTCTAAACTAGACCATGGCTTTAAGGTTCATAATAAAACGTTATGAAAGCAGATGTCTTGGGTTACACACAACAGGAGTTGATATCATTAATTCACAGGAGAAATCAATAAGGGAATTGATAAAGAATCGGATCGATAAGCAGAATCGATAATAATAATAATAATAAAGTTTATTTGTATAGCCCTTTAAAACAACCCAGAGGGTGACCAAAGTGCTTTACAATAAAATAAAACAGCAAAAGAACACCAGTAAAGGACAGCAATAAAAACAATAACAATGTCATAACAATCTTAAGTGTTAACAGCCATCTTAAAAAGAAAGGTTTTAAGTTTTGATTTAAAAAGACCTAGGTCAGCGATGGTGCGCATGTCGGGGGGGAGCTTGTTCCACAGTCTGGGTGCGGCCACCGAGAAAGCCCTGTCACCCCAATGTTTGTAATTGGACCTTGGGACCTCCAACAGACCCTGGTTTGACGACCTTAGGGTTCTGTTTCTGACTTGTGGCGTGAGAAGGTCGGATAAATAGGGTGGAGCAAGTCCGTTAAGAGCTTTAAAAACGAATGTTAAAATCTTAAAATCGATTCTAAAATGGACAGGAAGCCAATGAAGAGAGTAAAGGACAGGAGTGATGTGCACGCGTCTAGGAGTGTTCGTTAAAAGACGGGCTGCTGCATTTTGCACGAATTGCAAACGACTGATGGATGACTGGGAAGTACCAACATAAAGTGCATTATAATAATCTAGCATTGAGCTAATGAAGGCATGAATAGCTTTTTCAAGGTCAGCACGATTTAGGAATGGCTTCACCTTGGCCAGAAAGCGCAATTGAAAAAAGCTTACTTTAACCACAGTGTCAATTTGTTTATCGAACTTGAAGTTACTGTCGAACGTAACCCCGAGATTTCTGACCGTTGGACTGAGTTTCATTGCTGTGAAATTAGACATTTCTGGCATTGATATCAATAAAATCCTATCAATTCCCATCCCCATTCCCATCCCATCCATGTAGCTACGTCCATTATTTTATAAAGTCTATGGAAAATTCTACACACAGGGACGGAAAAGAAAAATCTTCCTTTGACTTTCAACCTTTAATAGCTTAAGTTCTCATCTTGGCGTGATGCTGTAGAGGTGCACAGAGGGCGTGGTCAGTACGCCCTGGCATCACTGCTGAGGGTGTTTATAGGTGAAACAGACTAAGCTACAAAACTGGTTCAATCTTAGGTGACTATTTATTTAGCAATATTTAATTTTACTATGATTAGACCTGGCACATTTCTTAATATGATCTGATTCATTCATTATTCTGCTTGACGTACAGTACAGGCCAAAAGTTTGGACACACCTTCTCATTCAATGCGTTTTCTTTATTTTCATGACTATTTACATTGTAGATTCTCACTGAAGGCATCAAAACTATGAATGAACACATGTGGAGTTATGTACTTAACAAAAAAAGGTGAAATAACTGAAAACATGTTTTATATTCTAGTTTCTTCAAAATAGCCACCCTTTGCTCTGATTACTGCTTTGCACACTCTTGGCATTCTCTCCATGAGCTTCAAGAGGTAGTCACCTGAAATGGTTTTCCAACAGTCTTGAAGGAGTTCCCAGAGGTGTTTAGCACTTGTTGGCCCCTTTGCCTTCACTCTGCGGTCCAGCTCACCCCAAACCATCTGGATTGGGTTCAGGTCCGGTGACTGTGGAGGCCAGGTCATCTGCCGCAGCACTCCATCACTCTCCTTCTTGGTCAAATAGCCCTTATACAGCCTGGAGGTGTGTTTGGGGTCATTGTCCTGTTGAAAAATAAATGATCGTCCAACTAAACGCAAACCGGATGGGATGGCATGTCGCTGCAGGATGCTGTGGTAGCCATGCTGGTTCAGTGTGCCTTCAATTTTGAATAAATCCCCAACAGTGTCACCAGCAAAACACCCCCACACCATCACACCTCCTCCTCCATGCTTCACAGTGGGAACCAGGCATGTGGAATCCATCCGTTCACCTTTTCTGCGTCTCACAAAGACACGGCGGTTGGAACCAAAGATCTCAAATTTGGACTCAACAGACCAAAGCACAGATTTCCACTGGTCTAATGTCCATTCCTTGTGTTTCTTGGCCCAAACAAATCTCTTCTGCTTGTTGCCTCTCCTTAGCAGTGGTTTCCTAGCAGCTATTTGACCATGAAGGCCTGATTGGCGCAGTCTCCTCTTAACAGTTGTTCTAGAGATGGGTCTGCTGCTAGAACTCTGTGTGGCATTCATCTGGTCTCTGATCTGAGCTGCTGTTAACTTGCCATTTCTGAGGCTGGTGACTCGGATGAACTTATCCTCAGAAGCAGAGGTGACTCTTGGTCTTCCTTTCCTGGGTCGGTCCTCATGTGTGCCAGTTTCGTTGTAGCGCTTGATGGTTTTTGCGACTCCACTTGGGGACACATTTAAAGTTTTTGCAGTTTTCCGGACTGACTGACCTTCATTTCTTAAAGTAATGATGGCCACTCGTTTTTCTTTAGTTAGCTGATTGGTTCTTGCCATAATATGAATTTTAACAGTTGTCCAATAGGGCTGTCGGCTGTGTATTAACCTGACTTCCCAACCCCATTGATAAAGCACGAAATTCCACTAATTAACCCTGATAAGGCACACCTGTGAAGTGGAAACCATTTCAGGTGACTACCTCTTGAAGCTCATGGAGAGAATGCCAAGAGTGTGCAAAGCAGTAATCAGAGCAAAGGGTGGCTATTTTGAAGAAACTAGAATATAAAACATGTTTTCAGTTATTTCACCTTTTTTTGTTAAGTACATAACTCCACATGTGTTCATTCATAGTTTTGATGCCTTCAGTGAGAATCTACAATGTAAATAGTCATGAAAATAAAGAAAACGCATTGAATGAGAAGGTGTGTCCAAACTTTTGGCCTGTACTGTACATTACAATCTTTAATTATGACCAAACCCAAGAAACTGCAACTCAAGCATAGCTAATTTCTCTATCTGCACCTTCTTATCGGGGTAGCAAGGTGGCTGTGCAGTACTGATTTATAAAGGTGTCATTCTGGATAAAGTAGCCTGACCTAGACAAATGTTTATGTTCCCTGCTCTGCTGGGAAAGTTGTGTTTTGCATATTTTTGCATAATTCGTCTGATCTTTAAGAAACAGTGAGGCCTTTAAAGACATATGCTACTGAGCAAAATCTATGGCACAAGACTGTGAAACGTACAACCTAGTGACAGGATCTGGATTATGTGTCACAAATTCCTACATGACTAAAACAACAGTGCTGAATCAACTCTTGCCTGCGCTGATGCACATCGGATTTCCCGAAAAGTGGGGCCAAAAATAGAGATTCTTCCTGACTGAACGGTTCTCCACATTTTTTAACCCATTGCAGTTAACTTACACGAGCAGTCACACGCTTTGTAGGGTGTTATAAGATACATTTTAGGAGATAAAGACACATTTTTTCCTCCTCTTTGTGGAGTTGAAGGGAGTTTAGATGTGGTTGTAGCCTACGGCGTGCTTCTGCTCAACTGAACACGTCCTCCTCAGTTTACACCAAAATCTATATGAGCCACTTTCTTAATGTTCACCACCAAAGCAGTCATTTAAGTGCCCGGACATTGTTCTTTGACTGTGGAGGGTGAACATGCTGAGGGCTAAGTTTTGTCGTCTCCACCCATACCCTGGTTTCCTACAACGCCGCATTCCACCAAGAAACTAACGTTACACCTCAGTTTTTGAAACTACGCCACAAATGTCACCTGGAGAAAGAGACAACAGCTGGCTACACACCACACCGACAGTGTCTAAGTGGGCTATGTGTGCCTCTGTGACGTGAAAACCGCATCTGGATAACCTTACATCGGCAATGCAGCGACAGCCCTGACAGAGGAGTGAAATATGCGTCCAACTTAGGCCTTAAAAGATACTTACTTTGAGTTCAAACACCGCCGCGGCTCAGCACACACAGCTACTCCACATGCGGGACACAAACATAACGTATACATTCAGGATGAAACTAACATTTCACCGCCTCGCTGGTGTTTTCACAGAGGAGAGTTCATTTGTATTCCCCGTAGGTGATGCAGTTAGTCCCTCCCATAGGGTGTCCAGTGGGACAGGGTATGGAGGAAAAAGGAAAAGAGAGATCTCTTGAAATGAGGCAGTTTTGTCACAAGAAGCAGGCCAGGATTATTTAGCACATTTGCTCTCCTGTTTTTCATCTGAAATTGTGACCAAATCACGTTTGTCAGGAACTCTGACATTGTGCTTGTTTTCCACACATGTGCGACTTTGCCGAAAGCAGACAAACATGCATGAATAAGTGGACTGAGCTGTTCTTTCTGACAGGTCTGAGCTGCTACGTGACAAAACACGGACCTTGAGGACAGGACAAGCCCAGACTGGGTGCTATCGGGGGGGGAACACACACACAGGAATGCAGATAGACGGGGCTGAAGGGGGGCTGCATTGAAGCTAACGTATTCACTTGTATTCCACTATTGACCATGAGTTACGTAAGATATGACGAGAGTACCGGTTAGCATTTTCAAAATAAAATTCTTGCTAACAAAAATCTAGCACTGAATTTTTTTCTGAACACCAAAATCACATCTGATATTTGTTTTTAGAAGCAGAGTATTATATATACATATACTTCTCGTTAACTAACTGACGACACTCAAATAACAAAAGGACACAACCTTCGCGAGCTTTTAATATGACAGAAAAGTGTGATTACCGGAAGTGCCTGTCGCACAAGCTTCAGGTAACTTTAACACTCACAGCATTTTAACGAAAAATGCACTTTGGGACTGCTCTTCACTCATCAGAGGAGGGAGGCGCCTGGAGTGTGATTTAGTTGTGTTTTTTAACCTCTTCTAAAGCTACAAATATTTTCCCTGCGTGGCTGGTAGAAAATACCTGACCCTCCCCCCACCATACATTAGTGATTTTTTAAAACTTACCCTTTGACGTTTGAAAGTTAAAAGTTGAAAGTTGAAGACGAAATCTTGGAGTTGAAAAAAGTGATTTTGTTGAAATGTCACTATTTTGAGCTCAAATGTGGTTATAGTTTCTTTTCTGACAAGAGTATGTGTCGTGCATGATGTGTCCAAGGACTGCCAGAAATGTGAAAATCCAACAATAATTTCTGTTCTTACAGTTTCTGACCATGACAAACAGTGTAATTATGGTGATTTTTAAGTGTTGTTTAAAATCAGTGGTAAAATAAATACAAAATACAAACATTTAAATCTATATGCCCCTCCACTAAGCACCCTAAAAAAACCATAAGCCTCTCCCCAGTGCTTAACAATTATTTGACATGCCTCCCCCTTTATGCACCACCTCATCCCCACTCATAAGTAACAAACAGTCCCTTAGAGCTACAGCACCTCATAGTTTATTCAGAATATTTACAAGTAAGATTCATCGGCACACATGTAGGCTTATTCCTGACTATACTAGGCTAATCTTTTAAACACCACCACATACAGCCAGGAGAAGCAGAGTGACAGCTGCTCTGTCAAGGATGTGATTCACTTTACAGCTGCATCCGTGGTGCTGATATGCAAACTGACGTATATCTGGATAGTGATTTGCATGCCACTAGCCTTGTTGTCATGGACAATACAAAACAGACAACCCCATCTTTATAAATAAGGTTGATGCGATTAAAATTACTACAAGATATTTAGGAACCTGTCACAAAATGGCTTTTTAGCGGACTGCCCAGCCAGGCTGACCAAATAAGGCCCAACAAGAGACTTCAGACAATCATCCCTTAATGTGCATTGGTTAACTTCAGCTCAGTGCAATGGTTGTTTCACATGTTCACAGAAGTTAAGGCAATAATGTGACAGTGGCATGATGCTCTTTGATTTCATTAGTAGGCTACAGCTAATGGTGTTGTTTTTTGTTTTTTTAAATTTACCTTTGGAGGTTTCTCAGATTTTTCCTCTATGTGGTAAATGTTTTTGTTGTGTTTCCCCCTTAGGGGAAATTTTGACTGAGGAGTACTGATACTGGTAAATAATAATACTTAAATCATACTTTAAGTAAAAACCGTTCAGTGTGGTGACAGTTTGAGGCCCAGATAATATACAAGTAGAGCAGCTATGGTCTGCAGTGGTGCTTGTGTCCTCTACTTTGGTGTAATACATTTTTACACCACATGGAGGTGTTAAACCACATTTACACCAAAAGTCTGACCAAGGATTTAAAAATAATTTACAGCAGTGCATCACCTGATTAACATAACCTGATTACAAATCTAACCTTATTCAATGGGAGGTTGCCTTTGTAGTTCACATGAACATACTGTACATAGCACATCTCAGAATACTCCTCTTAAATATCCACTGATGCAACTTTTAAAACAGCTGTGCGTACAGAGAACAGACATGATGAACATGAAAAATTAGAGGTTTAAGTGATTATCACTGGATAGAATGTACATTACATCATGGCTTTACAAATGATCAGTTTTATTTTGTGAATTGTTTCTGTAAGGTAGTGGTTGAATTTTAGTGGCATTTTACATTGTATTTATACTTACAGCTGAGCATACTTAGCTTTCATCACCCCAGAGGAACCACACACACACACACAGTGTGTGACTGCCTACTATCTGATCATTTTCTCTTAGAAAGGCTTAATAAGATGTATAAAAGACAACATACAAAACTACTTTGACATTCAGTGCAAATTAAAACCCATTTTCCTAATTGTATGTGTCATGGAGGTTTTCACACAACTCACACTTTGTAATAAATTTATTAAACAAGTCACAATGCACAAAAAGTATTTATTTTAAAAAACATGGCACAATGAATCAAGACAATGTCCCTCTGAGCTATCTAGCTCCTAACAAGACGTGCTAATGAATAAGTCATAGTAAGAATAAGGCTTTGGTTCAGAGTTGGCTGGCTCAAGTTACATGCACAGGATCCACATAAGACATAGTACATGCAGGGAAACTTATGCAGACTTTTTGCAGTGTGCCACATGGATGATTCTTGTAACTTCATCACACTGTGTGTACATAAAATCTGTTTAATCCATTTAATTAACCTTCTTTAATGGTATATATGAATTCAGTTTGACACAGTGCTTGTGGCCCCATGCAATACAGACACAATGTGCTGCAATAGAAATAACTTTCTCAGCAAAGTGGTGAATCCGCATTTTCCTTCAAATACACCCCCTGACCTGAAGTCTGAACTTGCTTAAACACAAACTGTGGATATTGTCTTTTATTCCACAAAACAAATAATAAATAATTGCACTTAATGATGATGGTGATGTTTTAACGTATACATCCAAAGAACTTACACTAAGATGAAGAACTCATAACTAAGTTGTAAGTTAGAATGGAAAACCCTCAGTTGCCTAACAAGTGTTCACAAAGAGTGAAGTCTGAGCTGTGAACATGAACACAGAAAGATTTATTGTTAAATCCCTGTAATTAAAGCCCTGCTAACTCAGCCCTGAATCTGGGCCTGGGACTCAATGAGCAAGATAACTCAGCCTTATAGACAGCATGAGGTACAGTGACCCTTGGAAAGGTTTCATCACATCAAAAGGGGCTGTTTTTTATTTTATTTTAACTTGGGACATATTTTTTGTTCTCCCCCGGAAATGGAAATTCAGGCACTTGGTTGAAGTGTCCTTGTAAAAAGATCCCCACTGTGCCGATGGTGAAGAGGAGGATGGCAGCCCAGAAACACACCTTGTCAATCATCTTCCCAATCAGTACCCAGCTTTCAATTTCCTGTATTTGGAAATAGTAAAGAGGGATTAAACAACTGAGGTAAGAGTTAAAACAGTTGCTCAAAATTGTTTAAAAAAATATAGGCCAAAAACACTTCGTCAATAGACACATTTAAAACATACAATACAAACTGTTGGCTTGGCAGATAAAGTATGAAGTAACACTCACAGATCCAATGTTATTTTGCTGTCTTGTACTCTCAGCAATGAAGTTGCAGGCATCCACACATCTCTTGATGTCAGGTGCAGCTTGGGCCAGACTCTTATACAGGTTGGCTGTGCTGCTGACATCCATATTATCCACTAGGGGGGAGGAGACAGTTAACTCAGACATTAGTATGCAACAGCATTGCCTGAGGCAGACACAGGCATCTTTGTTGGTGATGAGGCAAAAATAAAGGACAGGAAATAAATGACATACATTGCGCCTTTAATACACAAATAAATGGCTACAATGAGGGATATGAAGACGTGGGATAGAAAATAGGGCGGGACAGTGGTGCAGTGATAAGCACTGCTGCCTCACAGCAAGAGGGTTCTGGGTCTGAACCCGCCAGCAAGCTGAGGCCCTTCTGTGCGGAGTTTGCATGTTCTCCTGGTGTCAGCATGGGATCTCTCTAGGTTCTCTGGCTTCCTCCCACAGTCCAAAGACATGCAGGCTAGGTAAACTGGTGACTCTAAAGGTGTGAATGTGAGTGTGAATGGTTGTCTGTCTCTAGCCCTGTGATTGTCTGGTAGCCTGTCCAGGGTGAACCCCATATAAAATAGCAAAATCATGGAAATACTCAAGTAAAGTACAAGTACCTAAAAACTGCACCTAAGTACAGTACTTGTGTAAATGTAGGCTACGTAGTTACTTTTCACCACTGAATTTTGGAGCTGGGTCATAGTTTTAAAAAAAGATGTCTTACCAATTGATCCTGTGAGCCCATGCCTCTCTCTTTGTTTGTCAAACATCATTTCACTGCGAGGTTGTTTCAGCACATATTCCTCTGCTCTCTGCATGAGGCCAAAGGAGCTGCGCCGCCGTTCTCTCACTCCATTTACCTCTGTTGTCACCTCACTATCATCCACCAGTGGGGACATGCCCAGGAAGCGAGGAACCATTTCTAGGAACACCTGGCAGAGAAGGTAACAGTAGTTAGTTAACATAAAATAACTCTTGAACAGACAAATGAAACCCTGCCGCAGAGGATGTGCTTACATGTTTGATGGTATTGGACATGGTATGAGTGCTGGGGCTGCGCAGGGAGAAGTTCAGCACCACAATTTGATTTGTGGCAATGAGAGTAGTGACAGACATCACAAAGATCAGGTACC